ATAATTAACTATGAGTGCTTGCGCCCATAGGAAGTAAGAACCCCAGATCTAAATAAACCCTGACACTACCTTCAGGGGAAATTTGGTTAATTTTAATCTGACTTAAGGGAAATGAAATCCTACGGCTGTAAAGCCGGATTCGTGCCATTTTTCTTGAGCCAACAATGTATCACTGTCTAATGATCGATTCTATCTCAGGTTGGTTGAGGCCAGGATCTTAGGCATGTTAGCTTCACCATTCACCCTTGTCCATTGACAAATACAAATGAGAAATTTGAACGACATGATGTCCGATAATTGAGAATGGGCATCAATATTCATGTCTGTGATAATGATAGAAAATTTCATCTAGACACATGCCATTAGAACTTGATGCTAAGTGTCAAGTTAGTCAACAACTAGATGGACACCATTTGTTTATGATGCTTAGGGTGTTCTACAATAAAAACATTAAATGGTGTAGGTGATGGAAAACCTTAAAATGGGTTGAGATTATTATGGCATGGCTTGAGTGCTTCAAATGCCAAATATGGAAGAACAAGTAGACGATAATTAAAATTTGTTTCAGCCAAGGTTGTGAAAATCGGACCGGACGACGAACCGGAACAAGGAAAGGTTCATGGTTTGATCGGTCGAATTGGGGTTGAACCGGATAACGTAATAAATAATAATATTATTAAAAATTAAGAAAATTAATATAATAATTATAGCAGTCTAACCTTAAACCTCAGAATTCTAAGAATTTGAACTTTGTAATTTTAGTAGATTATCTCATTAAATAATTAAATTAAATATAGTATTTATGCAACTTTTTTAGTCCCACATCATGGGATAGTTTGAGATGGTTGTCTTTTAACTCTTTATATAGTGTAAAGTACACACTTTTTTAACAAAACATATTTTGCGAGATGACATGCATATATTATAGTGTAATTAGTCTCAATATTTAATAAAAAAGTTAAAATTTTAAAAGCATTTAAGAAAGTAAAATATATTATTTATGCTTTATTTAAAATAAAAAAATATTTATAGAACCGGCCTGTTCTTTCCAACCTATACCAGTTCACCGGTTGAACCGCTGGTTTAGCTTGGTTCAGGCCGGTTCGATGCGAAGCCAGTTTTTAAACTGGATTGGATCGGACAACTGACTAGTTCATGGTTGAACTAGTTGAACCGGCCAGTCCCGTCCGATTTTTAAAACATTGGTTTCAACAACAATTAAAATGATCCAATAAAATATTGTTCATAAATTTTAAAAAGAACCACTAATTCTCCAATATGAATTATAGCATATATAATTCAATTCGTATCCATTCTCATTCTCTCCTTTTTCGCATATAAAAAAACCTTTTTTGTTAGTCATCTAATTTATAGAAAATTTATGTGAAATATTTAATTGTTGTTTTAACAACAACAATTAAAACTATTCAATAAAATATCATTCATAAATTTTAAAAAGAGCCACTAATTCTTCAATATAAATTAGAACATATATTATTTAATTCATATCGATTCTCATTCGCCCCTCTTTATTTGCATACAAAACATTCTTTGCCAGTCATCTAATTTTATGTGAAATATTTAATTTAATGGGTTGAGTTCCAATCATCAAACTTGGTGGTTAACTATAGTTCTATAATATATCAATAAAAATAATCACTTGCATAAGAGTTATCCTAAATAATCCCCAAATGTCACTATGAATGGTAAAAAAAGGTTGAGAGGCTTTATATGAATGACTTGGATATATATTTTTGGTTTGTTTTGACAGTTGACATGTTTCACACTGAAATGACTCTAAATTTTTATTGGGGAGGGAATAATTTTTCATGATACTTAAAGTTTTGGTGACCAAGACAAAGGTGGCATAGCATGATTGTACTTCTTTAGGAGATAACATCTTGAGCATGTTTTATTTTATAATTTAGGATTTTCTTCACTATTCATGATGTATAATACAATATTTTATTTAGAATTACCAATTGATCTCCCTGAGACCCCATCCTAGAATTTATGAGTAAGATTTTTTTTGGTAATTGTTCATTTCTTTGATAATTTTGCTAATGTATGAGAGATTGCATTAAATTTTGAGAGCCAATAGAAGAAATTTAGGATCATGGGAGTTTGAGATCTTAATTGGCCCATTTCTTGTAATTAAACATATCCGTCAATAATCTTTGCTATATATGTCTTGGAACACTGATGTATTTTATAAAGAGACATCCTTGATGTGCGTGAGTGCACTGTTCATGATTGAGACTTATTAAACTTTTAATTAAAGTCACCCTCAACAATACCTTTTTTAAGCAATTGATTCGGTGTTAGTTTCAGTTTGGGTGATTTTTTTAGTTGACTTAACACCTTTTTCAAATTTAATTTCATTTTTAAATTGGGTTTGTATGTGGTTATGAAGTTTTTTAATAATGTGGTGTGTTTTTTTTTTTTGCTTTCATTAAGAAAATCTTAGTGATTGTAGTATGATCATCAACAAATGATATAAATCACCTAGCCACAGAGATATTCATAACTCGAGATGGTGCTCAAATGTCACTTTGAATGATAAAAAAAAATTGAGAGGTTTTATATGGATGACTAGGATATATATTTGACAGTTGACATGTTTCACACTAGAATGACTCCAAATTTTTATTGATAAAAAAGGAAGGGAATAATTTTTCAAGATCCTTAATGCTTTGGTGACCAGGACAAAGGTGGCATTACATGATTGTAATCTCTTTATGAGATACATCTTGAGCATGTATTATTTCTAATTTAGGATTTTCTTCAGTATTCATGATGCATATACAATATTTTTTTAGCATTACCAATTGATCTCCTTGAGACCCCATCCTAGAATTTATAATGAGTAAGAATTTTTTTTTTTGTAATTATTCATTTCTTTGATAATTTTGCTGATGTATGAGAGATTGCATGAAATCTTGAGAGCCAATTGAACGAAATTTAGGATCATGAGAGTTTGGGATCTTAATTGTCCCATTTCTTGTAACTAGACATATCGGTCACTAATCCTTGCTATATATTTCTTGATACACTTACGTATTTTATGAAATAAAGAGACATTCTCGATGATGTGATATATGCACGTATGTCCACAATTCATGATCGAGATTTTTTAATTTTTGAATTAAATTCATGTGCAACCATACCATACAATTTTTAAGCATTTGATCCGGTGTTAGTTTCAGGTTTGGTTGAATTTATTTGTAGTTAGCTTAACACCTTTTTCAACGTCTTTATTTGCTCTTGATTGAAAGAGAGATCTTATGAGGGATGTTGTTAGTTTATGAGAATCATTGTTATTTGCAAAGAAGACATGATTTATATTCTTCGTTCCCAATCACCTGGCTTCCCGTGCAATTTCTTATAAGTTTCTTTTGTGTATCCAAATTTTTGGCAGTTGTCATACCAATATCTTTCTTTGTAAAATTTTTATCGGATTTATGCCTATCTTGAGAGGTAACTATGTGCTTTCAAAGTTAGTTTGAATACCTTGGTCACCCTTCATGGTTTTTTTGTGACTCTCTTCTCTACGAACTTTAGAGAACACTTTGCAAATGGCTGAAATCATTTTTGCTCCAAATATCTTACATTGGGCTTTATCAAGAATTTTATTTATGCGGAAAATAATTTTTGCTATCATGTTTTTTTCAACTAACATGGATACTCTCAATTTAGTTTTTGAAAGACATTCAGTTGCTCCCGATACCTATTAAGAATATTATAATATTTAATGGTAGAGATAAGCTTGTCGAAGATCACGGGGATACAGTTGATTTCAATTGACTCAACATTACTTTTATTATCCGATTACATTTCTTTTGCAACATCCCAGATTTATTTTTATTCGCATTCCATAGAGTATAAAATTTTAACCAATTTCATTTTCATGGTGTTAATAAGCTAATAATACATAACGATGCTAAGATCTTGATATTTTGAATTTTGGATCTTTTTGAAGAGGAATAGCTGCAGCAATGAGGTAATCATCATCGCCTCTCTCTGGTTAATAAGCATCATGATTGATTTAGCCTATTGGAGAGCTATACCTCTGTAGCTTCTGCTCAATAACCTATACGTTGGAGAAGCTTTCATAGTTGTTGGTATTGCAATGAATGTTATTTCATGGTTGGAGGTGGTGTCACAGGAGAAGCTTTTTTTAGATGCAATTCCATGCTTATCATTTATCAAGGTTAAGGCCAAGGAAGAACTTAAAGACTAATGAGGGATAAGAAGGTCACAACAGATGTCTCGGATATGTTGTTGAAAAAAAAAAAAGACGGAACGATATAGAGAAGAAATACTTTTGTTTTTCTTATTTGAATGAGCAAGCTAGTGGCCTTATTTATAGAAAGGGGGAAAAATAGCAAGCACAAATCTAATTTTATTAAATGCATTATATAAGCCTTTTAATGGAAACAAGTAATAAGCAAAATCAGGGTGCATTTAAATAGCCAGAGATCTTTCGCTAGTTGAAGAGGCAGAAATGGTTGGTGGTGACTGCAGTTCCAAGCAAATTGTTCCCATATGGTGATGGGTTTGATTGCTGTTTATGCAACTTTCCTAAAATAATTCCTGAGTTGTTGCCCACCATTCCTCTAATTTCAATTTGATTTCCCAAGAATTGGCAACAATAATACCTTCTATAATATTGTTTAATAGTTGTCCACGAGCATCCAGGGATCCAGGATTTCCACGCTATTGCCATCAATGTATCACACTTCTCGAGTTACAAAACTTGATACCTAATCTGTTTTTATAATGTTATTAGTTGATTTTTGTTGATTATTTCACCAGGAATTTTGAGTTGTTGGGTGCAAGTTAATCAGGCCGTGTTCTCTTCTCATTGGCTTTGTCCTTAAACTGGTGTAGACTCAACCATTAAATGATGATTTCCCTCATGATGGATCTTTCATGTTCTGCTTGTGATTTGGCTTCTTAAGGAATTTTCTACTTTTACCTTGTGGAATCTTGTATGGCAGATGTTTCTGAGTACAATTATAGATGCTGCTGGTCATGCTCAAAATATAGATGCCGCATTTGCCATTCTGAAGGATGCCAAAAACAGAGGAATACTTGTTGGAAGCATGACATACAGCTCACTTATGGGGGCTTGTTGCAATGTACGTTTTACTTCCCTAGAACTTGATTTATCAATGTGCAGTGCAGATTTGAGCACGTAAAATCTAGATCTTTAGAGCACAAACTTCATGTTTTCTGTCATTTCGCCTCAGAAAATTGGTTCAAACCCAGAACTGAAATTGTTTTCATGTTTTAGTTTTTGCAGGGTGGATATCGAATTTTTATCAAAAGTTTTTGCAGTTAAATTAGATAAAGAGTTTGCTAAAATACCCATAAAGTTTCATGTTTTCTTTAGGCAAAAAACTGGAAGAAGGCTTTGGAGTTGTATGAGGATATTAAAGCTATCAGGTTGCTTCCAACAGTTTCAACGCTGAATGCTTTGGTTACGGCTCTATGTATGTGTTTTCCAACTGCAAATGCTATCTGGATGCTTTATTTAGTTTACTGGATATCTTGTTCATTTGACACACATTTTCTGTGTTTACGTCAATTTTAAATGAACATGTATGGAACAACTGCTACTCATAATCTCATCTAATGTAAGCTAGCCTTTGAATTGTCATCAATTTGCAAGTATGGTTGGGGCGCTATTTATTCAAAGCCTGAAAGTTCTCTTTTTTTCTTTCTTTTTTTTTCCCAACTTATCCTCGCATCATAAAAAAAAAAAAGATTCAACCTTTTTAGTGCATCTGACTTGCATCTTATAATTAAAGATATGCATATTACCGAAGTTCCATGATTAAAAAAATTACTTCCATCTTATAATTTTGTATGGATTGCACTTGTTTGCCTACTGCGTTTTTTTTTTCTTTTGAAATTGCAATTTTATTACAAGATAATTATATGAGTATAACAAAGACGATCACCATGAATTGATAGATTAAAAAAAAAAAAAAAAAAAGGGAAGATCAAATACATCTATATCATGAAGCCAAAGAATGAACCATTCAACACTATAAGAGAACAATATTTGAGATAAAAAAGACTCATTTCGACTACCTTGTTTGAAGCTTGGTGAAAACAGGATAGTGCCTATATATATGTATGTTTGATTACATTATTGTTTGATGAATAGGATTTGAAATCTTCTATCAACTAGAACATTATCACTCATAATGTTCCCATCAGAATAACCAATCTGTAGAGAATTATGACTGACTATGTCTACAGTAATAGGAGAGAGAGGGGGAACTTCTAGAATCAGAGGATCAAATTCCATTATCTTGCTAGCAAGAGAAGAAGAGATCATTTTTGTTGGGCTAGCAGCTGGCACAATGGGTTTTGGATCCTACGATAAGTCTGTTTGTTACAAATTTTGAATGCGCACCTGAGCTAATTGTGGAGGAGCATCAACCATTGCAGGAGTATGAAGGGTATGGCTATTTGAGAGTGCCTCGTGGTTGAATGTTTGATTCCTCGATGAGTGTTAATGCAATCAGAAAAAATATTTCTAAATATTTTATATAAAGAATAATATGGTGGATACCTTCAAAGACAACCTTTTGCCAATATCCATAAGATTCTCAACCAATCCACACATTCTTTTCCAATGGCATGATAACCATTATTTTTATTGAAACTCTGGCTATAGAAGGCCTGAAGCGACGAACAATAATAACACACATATACGAAGGTTTTATCAAAGATAGAACCCAAGGAGTATAAGGTAGATTAGCTGAAAAAATGTAATAGAAGCTGAGTAAAGATAATCCAAATAGGTGTGATTAGTGGTCTCAGAGATGTGTCAAATCGGAGAGACCACTTAAGCATATGCTTTAGAAAGACATAGTAGGTACATTCAGAGAAGGGTCTGTTGTAGTTTGCATATGAGGATAGTCTAATAATGATTTGACAAAGTTCCATAAGCCTAATTGAATATTCATTCATCAAGTATAAATCTGATAAGAATTTGGGAATGACATCCATGTTGGGACATCTCAAGAAGAATTTGCAAAAAACAAACAGAGCGGTATATCAAGCTCAGAGATCTAAAAAAAAGTTCTTTTTGATATGATGATGATGCTTATTTTTTTGGGGGAATTGAATCTTAATGAAAATGATAAGGAAAGTGATCTGAAGGTGAGTGATAAGTTGACTTTTCAAATGAATGAATGTTGTGAGCAATAAGAGGCGCGGAATTTGGAAAAATTCGAAGTCAAGTCGACATAGAATACGAGGAAGGCGGCCGAATCAAAACAACCATTGAGAACTTAGGAGCATCTAAGGAAGTGAGAGATTGCAATAGAATAGGGGCCATGGACATGGAGATCTGGCAAGTGCTTCTAATGAGGAAAATAGGGGCAATGATCTGAGGCGAGGAAGAAAGTCATCAAAAGGGGAAAATAACTGTTAGCTAGGGAGAAGGAATGTATGAAAGCTGCCATAGATGGCAAACTATGAGCCATAGTTGCAAGGCTCGCAACATCATCATGGTAGACATAGCAGAGACAGTCATTGGCAAACACGTCAATGACGAATTGTGAGGCAGGAAGGCAAAGGAGAACATGCACCAAATGCGCGTGAGTGGGCTCAAGTGTGGGATGAGCTGAGCAACCACACTTGATTGGCTACTTTTTATACTTCATTAATTCCATTAGGTTCGGTAAATAAAAAACTTATCACGTGGGTTCTCCATTTCTGATATGTATACTAAATTTAAAGAGTAATTGTTGTAAAATTTTATTGCTTTTCTAGTCTTTGCATGCCTCAATTGTGTAATTCTTCATCAGTGTACTTGTTTTCCGATGTTGAAACCTCTGTTTATTGTCTCTTAAACAATGAGTGGTTTTAATAGATATTTATGGATATGCTTCTATTTCAGAAAGGTGTTTTATTTTAATAGATATTTATGGATATGCTTCTATTTCAGAAAGGTTTTTGACGCTTAACGACCTAATGACAAAAGCTTTTTTTGATTGACGTTTCTAGCCCATCTCACGTATCAAAATACCTTATTAGAAACAGAGATTTTGTTTGCTAGCATTTATAATTATATCTCATAGCTTCGAACTAGAACTCCTTGTTTCTGCAATAAGAATTATTTAGCTTTGCAGGAGTTTGTTAGGTTTTATCTATTGATTCATTCATCTTTAGCAAAGAGAGCAATTTTTATTATTTTATTCTGCAGGCTATGTTTCTTCAGTTCTTCACTTTGTATTTGTTTCATGGTAGATGATGTAAAATATTACCTGATGTGTTTCCGGTAAATCTGTAGGTGATGGAGACCAGTTGCCAAAATCTGTTGAAGTTCTTGATGAAATGAAGGAAGCAGGAGTCCTTCCTAATGTCGTTACATATTCCATTCTCATCGTAGCATGTGAAAAGTAATAGTTTTAGACTTTCTATCTGTTTATTTTGTCTTGGTTTCAATCTAATCTTCTGAAAATAAAGGAAGAATGAAGCTGAACTGGGATTTGCACTGCTCTCAAAAGCGAAAACAGATGGAATTCTACCGAACCTTATTATGTGCCGGTGTCTTACTGGTAAATTCAATGTTGGCCCATTGTAATAGTTTGACAATTTTGACATCTTTCTTGCTTCATTTACCTGTAAATTTGGAGAAACATTTTATCCTTTTCAAACTATTTGCATTTCTTTTTCATTGTTGATTTATAACGACTTTTGATGGAAATGTCATTGTTTGTATTTGTTGTTCATGTCTTCTGCATTGCTTTATCCTCGGTGTTGATAGTTGATGCTTTTGTCTTGCTAGGTTTGTGCCTACGAAGTTATGAAAAGGCTTGCTCTCTTCATGAACCTATTATTTCCTTTTACTCTGGAAAGCCAGAAATTGATAGCATATGGTATGTAATCACTCTCATATGTTTTGAATGATGTTGATTGTCTACATGCCTTGAAGGCACATCTTTAGCTAGATTTTGCTATCCTGTGATTACGGATTTGTTTAAAAATGTTATGTTGTGCTATACTTTTTAATATTGTTTTGTGTTGTGTTGTGCTTTTATTGTTGGGTAAAATAAATGACTATTGGTAAATTTCTAAAAATTCCGAAAACGATTGAACATAAATCCGGAAGGAGAGATTTAAAGTTCAATGGTTCGACAGGGGTTGAACCAAATGACATAATAAATAGCAATATTATTTTAATAAAATTGGAATGATGTAATAATTATGAACAAACTTAAAATTTGATACAAAAAATAAACAAAATTCATACACAAATAATATCATATATAATTTTAAATTTAAAAAACTTCAATCTATAAATTTAGTTTACATTTAAGCTTATAAATTTAATATAAATTATTATTATATTATATTATATGTGTAGATTTAATTTACTCTTATAAAATATATATCAAATTCACATTATAAATTTGGATCTATATATCATTCATAATAGATCATCTATCTTGAGATCGATAAAAATTTATTTATTTTATGGTGTATTAAATAAATAAATAAATTAATTAATTAGATAAAAAATTAGGAAGGGATGGGAAGGAGAGAAAAAAAAAGAAAAACATAGGGAAGAAAAGATCCACGAACCCGGATACTTCCAAGGTTGGTGGGTGATCCGTTTCCCTCTCATAGGGAAGTTCTCTCCAAATCTCTCACACAAACACAAGATTGCAGGAATTTTCATTATCATTCATTCATAAACTTGAAAAGAAACAAAAGGGGCTTATAAATAGCCTCATACAATGAAAAGAAACTTAAAGACAACATTGCCCCTAGGGCTTACATATGACAAGGCCCTTAAGTAAGGGTAAAACGGGAAATGCTAATAAAACAAATATATAATGCAAATAAATAAAACAAATACATATGATGAATCAAAAATAGATCGGCGCGATCGTGGCCGTAGATCGCCAGCCACGTCTCTGATATACTTTCCATGATCTGATGTTACCCATCACATAGCCCTGCTTCCATCTTGCTTGGATCACAAGCAGTTCCAGTGAAGTGTTCATTTACTATTTTGTTTGTTGAAATGGGTGTGCATCAAATGCACAGAACTCTATTCTGCAGAGATTTATATTTAGTGCATTTGATCAAAATTTTTTCATGATATATTTCCTTTTCTTGTTATTACAGGACATCACGAGCAATAATGGTATATCGTGAAACAATTTCATCCGGTGAGATACCGACAGTTGAAGTGTTTTCTCAAGTTTTGGGATGCCTGCAGTTTCCTCGTGACTCCCTAATTAGAAATAACTTCATTGAGAACTTGGGAATAAACTTTGATAGATCAAGATGCTCAAATATTTCTTCGTATTTACATGGATTTGGAGAATATGATACGAGATCTTTTTCTGTGCTTGAGGTATCAAGCCTTTTGTTTTCTTTCTTCGTCCTCTCTTTGGTGCTTTAAATGGTTTCTTTTGTCGTGGAACAAACTTATATCATTAAAATGATTGTTCTTTGCACACTTCAGGAAGCTGCTTCATTACGAGTTGTACCAAGAGTTTCCTACAAAGAAAGCCCAATTGTTTTAGATGCAAGGAAGCTGCTAGTACATACAGTTGAGGTGAAAATTCGAATGAATTTTTTTTACTTGTAGCTGATCTGTAGAAATGAACCACTGCAACACTTCTATAATATACTGGAGTATCCCTTGGTCATCACTGGATCATCATCTTGTAACTATTGAAATTTAGCAAAGTACTAATTGATGAATAATTCCTAAATATCTGTGATGAGCAATGGTTGACTTATTTCATTTAAGTATTTAACTAAAGAAGGTTTTGTCTTGAAATGGTATCATGAGAACGATTTGGATCACTTTTTAACTGTTATTCATGATTTTTCTCCCCACTTTTTTTAAGGATAAAACATAGTGCCATCCTGCTGGGAAGCATGGTCTTATGGACCATTTGTCTATTATAATGGTAACTTAGGGGCTTTAGGTCCGGCCAATATATCAGCTAATCCTGAATTTGGGAAAGTTCGTGGAAGGTTCTTCAGATCTTAGGTCCATACCATTAACTCTATGTCAAGTCCATTTATTGACCAAAATTCCCTTAGCTGATGTAAAAGTATATATTGTGAGAAAAGACAGAAAACCTTAGTGGATTACCAAATATTGATAGAAATTTTTACTAGAACGGTTATGAAGTTATGAACTTCATCAATAGCTTCTTTGAAAAAAAAAAAAGAATGGTTATGACTTCTTCCAAACTAATGGATCATGTGGTAACTCCTGGAAAGAAAATGCAAGGATGCCTCATTTATAATATATTTATTATCTAATTTTGCAATAGGGAAAATGATCAAATGGTTCCCTAACTTTTTATGAAATATCAAAATAATCCTCTATTATATTAAATGATTATTTTGGCTCAACTCTTTAAAGAGGAACCAAAATAGTCCCACCATGAGACTATTTTGTTCCTTGTTAAAGACTTGAGGGACCAAAATGATCCTTTAATATTGTTGGGACCATTTTGATCCTTCATAAAGAGTCCATTTTGATCTTTTTTCCCTTTTGCAATATATATGCTACATTTGTTATTTGTTAGTCTTGAAAATCAGTAAACTGGGGATTAAACCTTTTTGCTAAATACTATTTTCTTTACTGAATTATTGGGCTTGTTTTAGGCAAATTTTGAAAGACTTTTTATATTCAAAGGTATCTCTCATTGTCTTTCGCTATCTCAAGAATATGATTGGCTAACTGGTGGCCGAAATGGTGCTTCCAGTGGGTGGGATGAATTCTATCTTCATGGCAACACCTCTCTGAGTCTGTTAGCACCTGTGTGCATGGACAACATGTGGAACCCAAGACAAGCGCTCCATTATTAACCCAAGACAAGCTCTACTTGGATTTTTTTTTTGCATTTCCGTTGCACCATGATGGACAATTTTGCAAAATAAGCGATAGATGACAGTTTTCTGAGTTAACTTCTCATGTAATTGCATCTATCTTCTACCATTGTCATCACATTCGATATAGCCGACTTGTAATTACATGTGGAGGTCAACAATAGGTTAGTAATGGAAGAAGCCATCACTTATGGTGGTAGATCTGACATAATTTAAGCAGACCTCCATGAATGATCCTTTTTCAAGTTGGGTTTCATTGTTGAAAGTCCTCCATAACCGTTTATACTCTCACTTGGAAAGACTTATTAGATGAAAAGCACACAAGTATAGCCACACTGACAGTGGAACATAATAGCTAAACTTAATTCATTCAAATACATAACCACACCAGCTTAATGGGGCTTCTATATAGTGCTGACAAAGGAAATCCAGGTGTGATGAATGAGGTTGTAGGCCATGCATGGGAAAGGGAAGAGAAATGAAGGGTCATTTGTGGGGTTCCAATGGTTTATGTGCGTTTTCATGGTCACAGGATTAATGGAGAGGAGAATTTGAGGAGTTCATTATAAAGTAAAGAAAGCAGAAAGGGAAGGGGTATAGACGTCATGTTGGAGAGAGACAGAATGATGAGTTGTCCTAGTCAAAAGATAATTTGGAGGTAAACTAGTGAGATGGAGGTCTAAAGTTAGTCTAGTGATGTTCAAATGGACTTAGGATTTGGCTTGGGTTCTACCACTCAAAACACTTGCATGGATATGATAATGATTCGAAAAATACATTACAAGGCTCAATCGGGCTCAATAAGATGTAACACATCAGAGTCAAAAAATAAAAATGCATGATAGATAAAAATAATTCACAAGGCTTCCTAATTATAGAACTAGGCTCCATGACTATGCCTCTAAACTTTTTGGTGATGCATCTGAATATGCTCGTGTCATCGGCTTTACTCTCACATTAAATAGTTGAAAATATGTTGTGTAGAAATACCAAGTAGTTGGCTCTCACCCATATTTTTAAGCTTTTGAGTTACAAATATCTTTGTGAGTAAGATTCACTATCTTAAGATTTTGTCAGTACATGAGGAAGCTAATGTTATGTGGGAAATAGTAGTTTGTAATATTAAGAATGTTGCAAAGGATGTGCTTGAAGTATAAAAAAGAAAAGCTTCTAATAGTAAAAATAGTTGGTGTAATTAAAATATGCAGGAAAAGATAAAAAATAAGAAGTTTTATTATAAAAATTGATTTAGATGTAAAAATTCTAAAATTTGGGAAAGATATAAAGCTGCCCATAAGGAGTTTAAGAAAGCATTATGCGATGCGAAGACTTTAGCTTTTAATGATTTATATAATATATTAGATATTAAAGAGGACGATATATATATAAGCTAGCTAAACAAAGAGATAGGAGTAGTAAGGATTTAGTTCAAGTGAAGTGCATTAAGGATGAAGATCAAAAAGTACTTTTTAAGAAGAGGATATTCAATAGAGGTGGATGAGATATTTTGCTAAGCTTTTCGATGAAAATTGTGAAAATACGATTGACTTTAGTGATCTTAACACTCTAAATGAAAATAGATATTTTTGTTTTTATCGGCGTATTACTAAAACTGAAGTTAGAGAGGCTTTAAAGAAAATGAAGTGTGGGAAAATTGTTAGGCGTAATGATTTTTTAATAGAGGTGTGGAAATGCTTAGGATATGAAGGAATTTCTTAGCTTATTAAACTTTTTAATATTATTTTGAAGACTAAAAAGGTGTTAGATGTGTGGAGAATGAGTGTGTTGATTCCTATCTTTAAGATTAAAAGTGATGCACAAGATTATGCAAATTATAGAGGAACTAAGTTGATGTGTCATACTTTAAAACTATGGGAGAGAGTTATGGAGCATATGTTACGACATATACTAATGTTTCTCAAAATCAATTTGGATTCATGGCGGGTAGGTCTACTTTGGAAGCCATACATTTATTGAGAGGTTTGATGAAGAAGTTGTTAGACCGATCCATCGGACCGGTCCATACAGGACCGGCTCACACGTAATAGAGGCAGAAGAGTTCCACCTCTTGTACGTGTCGAAAGCACGCATGGGTCCAAGGGAGCTGTTTAAGAAGGATTTTTGAGGGCGTTAGGAGGGAAATTTGAATTTATGGACTGTTTAGAGATTTTCTTTTGGATTGTATGCATTAAATAGTTTGTTCTCTTAGGGTTAGGGCGTCTTGAATTTGATTGAAATTTGAGATCTCTTAGGTTTAGGTTTTTGGGCTCTAGCACCGTCTAGAGATTTGGGAGAGATAGATCCTCCTCTCGAATAGAGGATCAATTGTATCCTGTTATTTTTCTTTCGTTAGTTTGATTATCGAAATAAAATTACTATTTTTTGTTTTTCCTTTGGATTTGTTGATCGTTTTTACTGTTTTCATCAAGATAGTTAGGTTTTACTTGGGAATTCCAAGTATTTCCTAACAAATTGGTATTAGAGCAGACTTTAGGATCATTCGTGGGTTATTTTATGGAAAATAAGCAGTTATTTTTGGCCCGTGGAAGGGATTTGTTGCTGCTTTTTTATCAATATCCAGATTTTTTTCAACCAACAAAAATTCCGGGTATTGATGGCGGCCAAGAAGATAGATGCGTTGGAGGTCCCTTAAAGGGGAGATGAGCCAAATGAAAGCGACGGTGGAAGATCGAATTTTATCCATAGAAGACAATGTTTCATTCGTGGAAGACAAGGTTTCCGATCTTCATGAGATGGTGAAGAAGATATTAGAAAATCAAATTCAATAAGCGACATCGGAGGCAAAAGGACCCGCGGGGAGAATGACAAAGTTTAATTTTTGTAGGAGGGACAATGATGTGGAAATCATGGAGATGTTAAGAAGGCTTTTGGAGATGCAAACAAAAACTTCACTGGTGGTTCCAGTGGCTAACCCTAACCAAGATTTGACTATGATTCACTTGGAAGAATTGAAGGGAAAGGAGATCAGACAAGATGAGTTTGGCGAGGAGAATTTCTTTCATCAAGAACCACCTCTTGGGGATGCAATAAGGGGTTGATCAGGGTTTCTTGATGAGGGGATAACAAAGAGGAAATTTTTTGGTGAAGGTGGTAGGACGACTGATCACTATGAGAGGCATTTTGGGCAAGGGGAGTGGGCCATCGGAGGAGGGGGTCAAGAGCCACCTCCTAGGGCTCCAATAAGGGGTGGAATAGGGTTATCGGATGGGGGACGGCAGGAAGGGAGTTTCGTGATGAAGGTGGTGGGGTGGCCGACCCCTATAGGAGGTCTTTTGGGCAAGGGGAGTGGACGACCGAAGAAGGGGGACAGGCCGAACCATGGGGATCGGGTCATGTGTGGCGAAGGGAAGGAAGGTGGGATTCCTACCCTCGTTACATAGGGGAAATATGGAGGGATCACGACAACCCCTATACTGAAAGAGAAAGAAGCTATTGGGGTGGTGGCGATCCGAGGGTGAGGAAGTTGAGGATGCTAGTATTTGAATGGGAAGATGCTTATGGGTGGGTGTACCGGGTGGAGATGTATTCCATGGTGAATGGGTTGAATGTGGAGGAGAAGTTTACAGGTGCATGGCTATGTCTAGAGGGGAAAGCTCTAGCTTGGTTCTAGTGGACGATAACATGGCACTAATAGAGCAGTTGAAGAAAGGTAAGGTATCAATAATGTCCCATCCTATCACCTTGAGGATAAGGTGGGTCTTTGTGAGGGGAGTATTGTTAGACCGGTCCATCGGTCCATACAAGATCGGCTCACGCGTAACAGAGGCGAAAGAGTTCCACCTCCTGTATGCGCCGAACGCACACCCGAGTCCAAGGGAGTTGTTTAGGAAGGATTTTTGTGGAAGTTAGGAGGGAAATTTGAATGTATGGATTGTTTAGAGATTTTCTTTTGGATTGTATGCATTAAATAGTTTGTTCTCCTAGGGTAAGGGCATATTGAATTTGGCTGAAATATGAGATTTCTTAGGTTTAGATTTTTGGGCTCTAGAGGCGTCTAGAGATTTGAGAGAGATATATCCTCCTCTTGAATAGAGGATCTATTGTATCTTGTTATTTTTCTTCCGTTAGTTTGACTATCGCAATAAAATTACTTTTCTAATTTTTTTCCTTAGGATTTGTGGATTATTCTCGCTGTTTTCATCAAGATAGTTAGGTTTTACTTGGGAATTCCAAGTATTTCCTAACAGAAGTATAGAGAGAAAAAGGAAGATCTTTATATTATATTTATTGATTTAGAGAAAGCATATGATAAAGTTCCAAAAGAAGTGCTATGGAGAGTTCTAAAAAAGAAAGGGATTAATAATGCTTATATTCAATTCCTTAGAGATATGTATATTGGAGCTGTTACTTATGCCCAAACACAAGGTGGTTTGACCAAGTATTTTTCAATTTCAGTTGGATTACATCAAGGATTAGACTTGAGCCCATATCTTTTTGCTTTAGTCATTGATGTTCTTACTAGAGATTTGCAAGAGGTTGTTCCCTGGTTTATGAATTTTGCTGACGATATTCTTTTTGTTGATAAGACTAAAGAGGGAGTTGAAAGTAAACTTGAATTATGGAGGCCAGCCTTAGAGTCTAAAGGTTTTCGTTTGAGTAGATGTAAAATCGAATACATGGAGTGTAATTTTAGTAGTAATAGATCTAGTGGGGGTTTGTGACTTTGAGCGATCAAGTCATTAATAAGAGTACACATTTTAAATATTTTGGGTCTATTGTTCATAGTGATGGTGAAATAGATGGGGATATTATTATTAGAATTTAAGTTGGTTGGATGAAGTGGAGGAATGCATCGGGTTTGTTGTGTGATAGAAAAGTACCACTCAAATTAAGAAAAATTTCTATAAGATGGTGGTTAGACCTGCAATGCTTTTTGGTGCAGAATGTTGGCTATCAAAATAAAAGCATAATATTAAGTTAAGTGGAGCAGAGATGAGGATGCTCAAGTGGATGAGTGGCTTTACTTTTAGAGACAGGATACGAAATGAGCATATACGTGAAAAGGTTGGAGTAGCTCTAGTGGCAGATATGATTACAGAGAGTTGCTTAGATAGTTTGGTCATATAAAACGGGGCCTTTCGATGACCCGGTTAGAAGAGTAGATGAATTAGATTTAACCTATCTTAAGAAGGGTAGAGGTAGATCTAAAAAGACTTGGTTAGAAAATATTAGAAATGACATTTCTTTATTAGATCTAAATGAGAATTTTATTCTTAGCCGGACACAATGGAGAAAATGATTCATGTAGCCGACCCCACGTAGTGGTATAAAGGCTTGTTGTTGTTGTTATTGTATGGCGTATATAGCTCACTTTGGTCCCTCTTTGATTCTATCGCTAACAGATACATCTAAACTTGTTATTAAAAATCATTTTGTGCCTTTAATAAACTCCCTATCACATTATATGTATACACACTCACCAAGTTGATGGTTACATATCATTATTATTAACTTCATGTCGCCCTTTTGAAGGTCTTTTTTAGCTCCAGATTCCCAAAATTGCATGCCTTCAAAAAAAAAAAAAGCTGATTTATTGGTTTTTCATTATTCAAGCTACTGGCCCTTCTTTTTTTATGCTATTACTGGTTCTTTTGCATTGGTTGTACAACTCGTTTAATGCATGCCTATTAGAAAACCACAGTTTATTGGTGTTTCAATAGTCAATATTTTTACCGGTGCTTGTTTATGTCTCATGTTTTCTACCATGCTTTATATTTCTAGTGGTGAATTTACTGCACGATATGGATGATAACTTTTCAGGCAATTGATCATCTTCTGTCAACTTCTAACTTAATCTTAAAAAATCTGTCAGGTGTATATCTTGACAATTTTGAAAGGTTTGAAGCATCGGCTAGCTGCTGGTAATCATGCCTCTTATTGTCGAAGTTTCAGTTTGGTCGTGCAATCAAACTTTAAAGCAGACTTTAAAATTTAGTTATACAGACATTTGATTGCTACAATATTTGATGATCTTTCCTTTTGGTCCAAATATCTTTAGAAATGATAATGTGGACAAAGGGAGCTTATGTTCTGCTGAGTGGAATTTAGAGTTGGAAGATAATGTTTCTAGAACATATAACTTGCACTGTTATTTTGTGTTTTGTTATAGAATTTCAGCTACCTATTTATCATGCAATTTTTCAGAATCATCATGTAATGTTTTACACCTTTTCTTTTGTTTTTAACGTCTTTTCTTTCCCCCATTGTACAGGTGCTAGATTACCTTGTGTAACTATACTATTGTCAAGAAGAAAGACAGTGATTGAATCTCCTAAGGGAGAAAAGACAGTTTATATTGCTGGAAGGTAAAAAAACTTTCTTTAATTGAAAACTTTATTTCCAATCTAAACAACGAAAGTTTATAGATTCCTCTAATCTTTATATATTTCCTCTTAAGAGTATTTGCAAATTAATTGTTCACTTATTTGGACGAGTATGCTGGAAGTTTTTATTGATGCTCTTATGTTTATCATAAACAACTTGTGCTTCATAACTAATTGTATTCAGCTTTATAAATCCTCATTTCACAATCCTTTCTGCTCAATGTTGCATTTGGTATTAAGTAAATGTATTCTATGTTTTTTTTTTTTTTGCATAATTTCCATCCATATTACTTTTGGTCTACCACTTGTCTTTTATAATACTTTGATATTAGTTTTACCTATCTATTTTATATTTATAATGTCTATCCTTCATTGTACGTGTCAAAAATATCAAAATTTATTTTCATCTATCTTATTGTTAGTGGGCGTATTCCTATTGTCTATATAGTTGGCCATCCTTGCTATGTAATCATTTCTTTATCTCTATTCGGATGCTGTTGGTTGTTCCCATGCTGTCAATTCGTGGATATTGGCTTCCGGACCACTCCCAGTTTATCTTTTACTGCAAAATTCACCTTCTAACAGTCATTGGGTGTTCTCCTTCAAGAAATACATTCCTGATATTTAGTCTGCCTCACACAGCATCTCTAACTATTAATTGTGCATCTAGTTACAGGTTTTATCTGTGCTGGCACCAAATTATTAAGCTCTGTGGGCGTCCCCTCTGCATCTGATACTTATTGGAATGTACTGCTTGCAGAATGTATAGTCTCAGCTGCTCATCATCCAGAATGCTATGTCCTACACACTACAACCTTCTATCTTTCCAATTCGTGGCCCTTTAACGTTCTTCTATATGATCTGTTTTTAATACTTGACATGTTTATTTAGTTTAGTTCAGCTGAGCTTATCAATTGCCAAGACTTATACTATGTGATCATGGTTTGCGCTGAATCAGAGCTTGAGCTTCATTTATTATTCGTCTATAGCTGTTTCCACCCATGTTCATATGTATTAGGAAGTAGGGAAACCCTAATTTAAACACCTAAGTTGGGAAAGAAATGAACATATAAAGATCAATGCATAAAAAACACAATAATTTATACATGTTCACTCAATTGATGGTTGTGTTTATCTCTACTTTTCACTATGATTTGATCGTGGAGAAATAAAATCCACATTCCTCTAATACAAGCATAAGACCAATGCCCTTCCCGCTTTAAAAGGAAAAAAAAACCTATGTAACGTGTTTTCCTCTTATGGTGAAAATTAGGCTCCACAACTTAACAAGACGTATTTCTACTCATTATATATGAAGCATTATGCAGGCATGCAATTAAATGTTTTATTACATTGAGTTCTTATTACTGTGATAGTGATCTCATTAGCTAGAGTATTTATCACTTTGTATTTGCCTCAAAATGAAGTCCAAGAGCCAATGGTTTTTTAATAAGAAGACAGATTGGAGGACCGACTGGATCAGACGTTGCTCTTTCATAGGTTTCACACGACCGTCGATGAGAAATGTTAGAAATTTTGTGTTGATCATCGTCTTGGTTGTTCTCCTTGCAAGAGAGGAGACGGGGTGACTAAGAAGATGGGTGTCGAAGGTTTGTAACTGATTGAAGTTGGATATTGATCATCAATTTATGTTAGAGGTGATGCTTGATGAGGAATGTCGGAGGTCGAGTAACGAACATCATAGGTCACTCTTTGGTATACGTTGGGTGATGAGGAAGGTCTGAGCTTGAGATATGTCGACGATCTGACTCATTTATTCTTCTTATAGGAGGACATATAATGTAGCTAAGAATGTGGACGTCGAACGTCACTCTTTGATTGGCACTAGACAATGATTGTTGAGGACTACAGAAGTCGGGTGATGGTTGGCAATTCAACTTGGTCGTTCTCCTATATGGAAGGTTAACCTTTCAACCAGAAAGATAAGCGTCAAACATCACACGCTAGTCATTGCTATGTGTCGTGCAACGATTGACTAGGAATGTTAGAGGTTGGTCAATGTCGTTTGTCAGGATTGGATATTATCCTTATTAGATGGGACTTGGGAGATTAGGCGATTGGGAAGAGGCATTAAACATCAATCATTGTATGTGTTGGGTAACAATCGATGATTAACATTAGAAATTAGGTGATAGTTGGCATTTTAACTCGATCATTCTCTTTATCGGAGGGGAGACATTCGATGAGTAAGGCTTGCAATTGTCGTCAGAGACTAATTGGAAGGCATCCGACATCGATAGTTGGCTAACATTAGGCGATGGCTATAGTTGGCATCAATGAATGATATCTGGCATTGTCGATGATAGTTATTGATGTTGGTCTATGTACATTGTTTAGCAATTGTGATGGTGATGGCATGCTTCGATATTGGTCAATGGATCTTGTCTGGTGGTGGCAAGTTCTCTGTTTGGTGTGTGGTTTGTTAGTTGGTCGTGGGAAAAACTCTAGAAATTTATATGAACCCATGTCTCTTTTTTTTTTTAAGGCCTCCCTAAATTCGTAGAAACATGATCTTTTTATGGGTGTTTAGTTTGGTCATTTTTATAAGAAGTCAGGATGCCTTATGGGATGATTTGAATTAGCCCTCCTTAATTATTAGACATTTTGGAGCCTCTCAGTGCCTTATGGATCTCATAGTTGAGCAATATTGAGCTTATCGGCTTAATCTTATCCAGAAACTTATTTTAATTATAAACATGTTAAATTCGGAGGACATTTAACTCTCCAAATGGCCTTCTGAAGTTTTAAAATATACTTATAAATGCACGATTTAAGCTAATTTGAACTTCCATTAAGGCGTTATAGCATCATTGAGAACATATAGTCAAATAACACTGCCTTGATTATAGCTGTTGAAAAAAGAGTTAGGATGATCTCAAAATTGATCACGAATGTTTCTGCTTCTAAGACACTGAATGATGAGGACATCGTCAGCATTTTCGACACGTGTACCATCAGGAGACGCCGGAGATTGACAGCTACGATCATGAGTTTATTTTGAGTCATTTTATGTAGTAGTTTATTTGATTTTTATGTTTTTCCCATCGCATGTTGTTTAACATCACTGATGCTTTTTGAGATTTGAAATTTTTTTACCGAAATCGATGCTTGATTGGATACATTTTTTGAGGATATATCAGGAGTGATGTTGAGAGGATTAGCCGCAAGAAAGGGGGCAAATTTTAGAATGTCTTCCGAAATCAGCAAGGCTTTAGAAACTGTGCAGAAGATAGGCATCAAGAAAAAAGCCCAACTATTTGCTTGTGTGGCTCCAGAAGTGAGTGCCTCATGTTAAGCCAGAAGATTAAAGATAATAATGACTCTTTGGCTCAAGCTAAAAAAGTTAAAATTATCAAGGCAACATGCTCAAGCATCAATTCCATTGGTCTTTTGAAGCAAGATTTTACCAAATGTAGCCTCAATAGCAATACAGATTGGGGCAGAAGACCTGCGGATCTACTTGAAGTTGAGCTTGCTGCAAGGACATACAACCCACAATACGAGTCAGTCATCGCAGGGTATCAAGCCTTAAATCCTGTAGGCCCTTTGGAGGGTTAAAATCATTAAAGAAAAGTATGCTGATGTTCAGAAACTGCAGGACCGAGATGAGGAGACCCTAGGATGATTGGAAGTCAGGACTACTATTAAAAGATAGAACTGCAAAGGATGAATAGTCGATACAACAATGATGCTTGTAGAAAGCTTGCAAGTCCATTATAGATGCATACCAGCAACATGATAGGAAATACTTGAATTCGCTAGTAACACTAATGGGAAATACTCGAGTTCGCAAGCAAACCTAACAATAATTGGTAAAAACAGCGCAAACAACTCAAGAATTTCGGTGAAAACAATCCAAAACAGTAAATTGTATTATAGGAATCAAATCAAAGCAGGCACGAAGCAAAGATACAATTGATCCTCAATTCGAGAGGAGGATCGTTCTCTCTGAATCTCTAGACGATGAGTTTAGAGCCCAAGACACCAAAGAGAACTCCAATAGAAACAATGATCAAGCATAACCCTAACCCTAATTTTCATCATACTTAAGGCATGCAATTAAACAATAGAACCAAAAGACCAAAAAGCCCATGCCGCCCCCTCCTTTGACTCCAAGTTTGAATTTGAATATCAAGTGGACCCCACCCTTATCTCTCTCTCTCTCCTTTGTCGCCGCCCCCTTCCTGCTATAACCCCGAACCAGCCGCATAGAAGGGGCCGGCTGGACCGGTCTAACTCAACAATAGATGTCGTTGTGATCAGTGCTCGTTGCATTTCTTGAGGTCAATTTGACAACTTTGCTTGCATCACTTGATATACTATGTTTGCTAAGGGTAGTCCGATGTCTCAGTAGAAAAGACCAGTTCGAGTGGGTTTGGTTGAATTTCATTTTTTATGATTATTATTCTTTTGCTAGCTTTGGAGATATGGGCCCTTTGGACTCGAATCTCTACATGCAGAGGAGCAAGAGCAAATTCCGTATTATCTCGACATATTATACCAAATTTTATTATTTTCCAAAAATTTAGCAAGCATTTTAACATTTTTTCAGGCAAGAAAATTGATGTTACATGTCTTAAAAAAGTAGCAGAAGGTTCTAGGATATTCAAAATATTCTAGGATTATCCTATATTTTTCTATTATTTCTTATTATTTTCCCAATTTTATAAGGGTTTTTCTTTATTTTTTCTCTCGACTTCATTTTTTCTCCTTTTTTAAAGATTTCTTTTCATTTGTATTTCCTGTTTTATATCCAAAAAATATTTGAAATACTTGGAGCATTGTCGACTTCTTGCTCCACATAAGCACATTTATGAGGCGTGAAGAAAATTTTGGCAACTGCTTAAATTAGCATATGCAATTTTCTTGTTTTTTTTTTCTTGGTGTTTATAGCCCGCAAACAAGGCGAGGAATTCTTTTTAATTTCTATTTGCACGTGGCAAAATGTGTTAAGTTCATTTTTTCTTTCGTTTTGCTCTTTTGCATCTATTTTATACAGTTTTTAGTTAATTTCTGTCTTTATTTAATATTTTTAACTCATAATTTTCCTTTTCATAACATTACTTTCATTCCAATAATATTTTATACGAAGGAGAAATTTTAAAGTTAGGATGTGATCAAACTTGGGTGAGGATATCCCAACTAAAATTTTAAAATCTTTCTTAAAACGCTGAACTTTCTTGCTGCAAAACAATCCTTGTCCATGCAGGGTCGGTCAAGCAGTTGGATCTTTGCTGAGACGGTTGGGGCTGCCTTATCAAGGAGATGAATCGTATGGTAAAATAAGGATAAATGGCCTTACTTTGAGAAGGTGGTTCAAGCCTAAACTTGCCAGCAATTACATAAGTGGGAGACCTGGAGATATGATGCTAACATCTGCACGACTCGGCAAAGGCATAGCAGAACAGCAGCGCCAAATACGGAGCAACGATTTGTCTCTGGAGTAGTTCTGCATCTTTCATGGTACCGTTATCAATATTTGATATCATATATATAAATATTTCAGTTTGCGTATCCATTTGCTGATGCAATAACCAAAAAATTGGCTCCAGTCATCTTGATCAAATTTTTAGTTAGGATGACCCTCAAAGTCATTGGATCAGTAAAGTAAAGCTAATAGTTATGCCATCTTTTGCTTTGTTTGGGACAGCTTTTGTGCTGCTTTCTAAAACGGCTTTTTAGTACAAAAATTTCTAATTAATGAATTTTTTATATTAAAAAATAGTTTTAGAAAGTATAAAAAAGGTGTCCCAAACGAAGCCTTAATCAAATTTTGATTAGGATCTTCTGATTAAAAATTTTCTAATAATATTTCTTGCTTTTCTTTGCAATATCAGGCTTTAAGTAGCTAAGCTCAGCTGGAAGTTGTTAACATTGCATTCGAGCTGTTAACTTCCTTGAACTTGTTGATGGTACTATGGTAGTGATCACAGCAAAATTTTCAAACTCTCGATTCACAAGAATAAGCTCACTTGGAAAAAAAACATCTCTTCTCAGAGGTATGGGCTAAAGCTTCTTTTTATTACCGACAACAGACGGTGAGAAGTTATTATCTATTAACAACTTAGGCTACTGCAGAATATGCATTGTATGCTAATTCGAGTACTCATTTTTCTTTGCTTCGAAGCGTGTAGCTGAGAGGTGAATGAAACAAAAATTTAGGTATCTATCATTCTTTCCCCTCGTTATGCAGATTTCTATTTGTAAATTTGTATTCAGTTGGCTTGTTTTGCTAGTTGATGCGTTTAGAAGGCCTCTCTTTGGCTTCATTTGGTTGCGCATAATTACGTCTTTTCCGGTTCGAATCGGAAAAAAACTGTTGCTGTTTTATATGTTTGTTTAGACAACTTTTGTAAAAATCATTTTATTAAAACTCCGTATATCTACCGATCTGAGAAGGTACCCGTTCTTAGAACCTCAAAAAGGCGTCGGGAACCAAACGAGGCTTTTGAGAGGAGAGAAAACTGAAACATGTAGTGTTTTTACTCTCCTGTAAAACGACTAAGATTCTTGTGAAGCTATGCTCAATTTCTAATAAATTTAAAAATTATCAAAGCAAATCACAATAAACTTATCCAATGATTTATGAGAATAAAATAAACAAATGTGAGTGAATTCATCATGATGAGTGCTTTTTACTGTAAATCATCTACTCTTGGTGGAAAGCTTTAATGTTATAGTTTTATTTATGACATCGGCTTAACCTTAAAGCCGAACGGAATTAAAATCGCCGGTCCGTCAGGTTTTGATTTTCTAATGAGTGCTCAGCAGGCTCCATGCTGCCAATATTATTGTTCATTCGAGATTTGAGATTATATAAAAAATGTATGAATTTTTAAAATTTTGATGTTTTGGTTGAATGAAAAGTAATTCCGAATGTAAAATAAATACAACGCATTTAATTCAGTTTATTTTTGAGGTAAATTGTTCTCGCCTAATTTACAAATGATTTACACCACTTCAAAGCTTGCTTTACTACTAATGTCGCCTGCCGTCGCCGCCGCAACCCCCACCCCGTCAGCCGTCGTAGGCCACTACCACTCGCCACCCCACTGCCACTTGCCGGGCACAACCTTTTTATATTTTGTATTGCATTCACTTCAATCCAAAAAAAAAAATCACACATTTCATCCAAACAATTCAAAATATTCTTTTACACTTTTTTTTTTTCTAGTCACAAAACAGCCCCATTGTAAAACTCTTGATCAACCAATAGTGCCAGTGGACTCAAATTGTGTGGTTACTGATGATTGCGGTTGATGAAGGTTTATAAGACTAACCAACGGTATTTTGGAAGAATTATTCTTTTGTCATTGTTGTTAACTAACATATTTGTTGATCGACATTTTTTATTGATAAAGATTTCTAGCACATTCTTGGCCAATCAACAATATTGAGAGGCTAAGAATAATGCTGATTTAATGACCCTAATGACATTTATATTATAAACAATGAAAAGATGGGAATTTAATCAAATGCAAGATATTTATATAATAAATATACGTTATTATTTTGCATTGTTAAATGGCACTAAATTCATTTTTTATCTTGAGACCATTGTGTTATATTACAAGAAAATTGTCCATTACTGATGAATTTTTCAGACAAATTTTAAAATTTCCAAAGGTTTTTTGTTTAAGGTTTTTCTGCCTGTATAAACTTCGTAGGAAACATATACCAGCAGATTTTTTTCTGCTGAAAAAAACTTTTGAATGAATTTATGTTGTGTTTCTATCAGCAATTGTAGCTGCAGTTTATGCAGAATTGCAACCAGAATCCATAAATTCCAGCGTAGAAACCTCATTGAAATGAGGAATTAGTGGGTAAGGGAAAATGAATCTTATACTAGCGGTCATTCCGCCGATAATGATGTCAAACTTATGACATACCAGCGGAAATTTTCTATAACTGCTGGAAATTTCATCGCTATTAGATGATTTTCCTGAAGTGTTGCATTGTTACATGAAAGTGAAGATCTGTCTCCTTTAAATAAATATTTTGTAAAATCCAGAACTACTGGGCACTTTCTAATAAAAAGGAACCATAACAGTTTGGTAAAACAATATAAACTAATTAAACAGAACACAAATACAAGAAATACTGCAGTGATGCCTCTTTACGGTAACATATTGTTCTTCAAGAATTCAACTAATTAAGGTAAGCTCAATAGATGAGGAATGCCGTCAAAGCGTCAACGCTCAATTGGTAAAATTTCCGACTTCTTTCTTCACATAATAATAATGATGATGAAACAATCAACTCTAAAAAGCAATCATAAAAAGTCTAAAAATAGTTCCCATTGGCAATCATCTTACTGCAGAGTCCCTGCTCAATCTGCATCTGTAGGTATGACTTTGTAGATCTAAATTAACATCTAAAAGCAAATTTGTCACTAAAAAACAAAATAAATAAATATTCTTGTGATTCATCGAGAAATTATTCTATGTAGACATCAGATGGAGAGAACCGTCCGGATTTGCTGCGCTTTTGCAAAATGTCAGTAAATATTCAATTATAAATGCATTTTTATTGCACTTTTATAAAAGCGCAGCAAATATTCAATTATTTAGTAAATATTAAATATTTGCTACCCTTTAACTGTCTTTTTTGTAAAAGCGCAACAAAATGACAGTAAAATCGTAGCAAATTCAGACGGTTCAAAGAATAATTAATCGTGATTCATCTGGTACATTAAGTTTGTACGGAAAATGCTAAACAAAATAGCAAATTTGAATAACTTCTTATCAGTATGCACAAACTAAATGTCATGATTTGTTTCTTGATGAAAAATGGTTTGTTGAAGAAATCCCTCTTGCTGCAAAAGGTACGGCTGATCTGCGAAGTGATTCTGGTCCTTCTGCTGCAATTCTCTTGCATAATGCATCACAGTTACTTATTACCTCTGTGAGCCTGCCTTTGAGCTCCCCAACCTCTATCTGCAATTGATGCACTGCATGTATTGCATAGTAAAATGAATATAATATAACCGCTATGGGTACAAATATTATTCTATGAGTTTATTTCGCCAATGTAAATAACATCCACTCAGTCTGCTTGAGTTTTAGACGATGTGTGGACTGAATATTTTACAATAATAAACTTATATTTTCTATTGTATTATTAAGTAGAGGAGGTACAATAATACCTTCAGTAAGGCTGTGCGCTGTTGTTCTCATAGAAGAGGCTGAATGATTGAAACGCTGGAGAAGCTTCCCAGCCAGAGCATCTGCTGTCTCAATCTTGTTCTCTATCTCCTCCTGCAGTATTTCACGAGTAAAGGTGATGAATATCATCGAGTAAAGTAGACTATCTGGAAGTAAAGTAGACTTCCAAGTTTTTTTTTTTACGAGAAGATTTACATATAAGGATATGAAGTGAAAGATTCAGTCAGATTTGGAAGAAATTATGCTAATTTGGAGAAATTTCAGGCAGAGATATCCTGAATCAAATTTGACAAGGATGGATTTATCATCCATTAGATTTACTTTGAGAATATAATATATTACTAATCAATCAACTCATTAATACATTCATTTCAAAATAAATCCAAGTAAAAACTTAACTCGATCAAATTTAGGTAAAGATATCTTGATAATTTTTTTTCAAGCTAATTCAGACTTTTGGTAGATACATGGTTGACGAACCAATTTTGTTAGCATCCAACATATTAAGGTTTTATTTGGCATAACTTTTTTACTGCATTTTAAAATAACTTTTTAGTATATAATTTTTTAAACTAGAATTTTTTTACTGAAAAGTTGCTTTAGAAAGTAGTAAAAAAGTTGTCACAATTGAAGCTTGATATGATGGTGGACAAGCAAAATGATGATGCATCAATTAATAGCAGTGGCTGAAAGAAAACGAACAAGTTTGCTACTTCGCATTTTCATTGCAATTCTCAGGGGTTTGCTTTGCCAGAGTGCCTAACCTTGACAAATAAAGACGTGTGGCATTTGGTCATATCCCAAGATAGCTCCTTTGGATAGTTTTGGCTTAGACACCAAAGCATGCACTCCCAAAGAAGGGGAGAAGAAAAATAAAAAAAAGAAAGAAAAGAAAATAGAAAAAAAAGAGGACATTTTATAATTGCCTTCAACATCGACATTGCCGCCGACATCACTCCTTGTGCAAGTATAACACCCCTCAAACTCAAAAAGCCTCAAAATCTCGTTATCGGTGCTTGCAGCGCACCGGAGGACCCATTATACGAGCTATTAAATATTTTTCTTAGATGTTCTTTTATTAAAAAAGAATACAAATGTTATCAGCCCCTTCTTATTTTGGCTTAGATTAGATGCCTATTATTTTTTTTCCTAGAATAGTTTGCATGTCATCATGTATGAATTGCTTTGAATGAGAAAGAATCAAATTATAGCCCACTTTTTTAACAATAACAAATACAACATATACATACTCTACAAATTTTACATAAATACACATACATCGTCCCCCTTGCCAATTTTAACTTTAAAAAACATACATTTATGCCTATTCACCGTGCAAATATAATAATAAAGAAATGTAATTTTAAAATATTCAAATGCATTACACATACGTATACCAGCATGGATAGTAAGAGCATACTAGAAAACAAAAATCATTTGTCATCTTGGGTGCGGACTTTATTTCTATAGACATTATTTCTAGCTTGGTTGCAATTGGCTTCTTGCGGTGAACCAGGTAATTCTTATTCTGATTCTCCTTTTATTCTTATGAAATTGGGTCATGCCTTCTCCCCAACCCCAACCAAAATAGAGGAACGGCCAATAGTGATCATTTTAAATGCGGTATTTTGAGCAGATCTGATCTAGAGATTGATTATACATATGAAAAAGTTTTATGCAAGTAAAATACCTGCCTCTTACTTATTTTCTTGGCTTTTTCTACCTGCCAATCACGATATGTAGAGAAGAGCTCCAATAGGACATTGGGATTCAGACTGCCTATAACAAAAAAGTATGAAGCTGCTTAGTTCGAGTAGCACCTATGGAGAAGGTGTTCAAAGAGTAGATGAATTGGTACTAAATACGTGTCATGTCAAAGTTTGAAAAAGTTGGAAACTCGGTAGTTTTAGAGACATAAATTTACAAACAAAAGTATGATTTTTATCTGGAAAGATTTCATATCTTTTCCAAGCTAATAATATAAATTACACCATTGTTTCATTTATTATATACTAGAGAAAAAACTAGCAAGATGCCTTAAGAATTTTGTTTGCTATCTAAACTAGCTAATTTCATCATTTCATCTATTGTTTGTGCATTTATGGTCTTTTCCTCTCTCCATCTATAATTTACTTGCTTTGTCTTTTTGACTTACATTGCAAGATTTTGATTTAGGATAATTAGTTTCTCCACCAACTTTCATAAGATAGTGGGAGCAATGAGTTGAAATAACAAGTTTGCTCTAGTAAGCCCCTAGAAAAATTATTATAATTGACTAAATAATCATTATGGCAATCATCAGCTAATTAAGAATCATCACCGAAGCTAAATAAATTTGATTAATAAGCTAATATTTGCTTTTTTTCCCTATCTTTTTAGAGAGAGAGAGGAAAAGAGAGGGAGAGAGAGAAAAAAAAAGATATAGAGATAAAGAAAGGGATAAAGAGAGATAGAGAGGAAGAGAGAAGCGCACCAACAAAAGTACAAAACATTAGGTTTCATACGCACCAACAAAACATTAGGTTTCATAGGTTAAAAAAAAAATTATGTACTAAAATTTTTTATTCGCAAAGTACCACTTATATTCAAACAGTAGATGAACTGGTATTAAAATGTGCCATGTTAAGATTCAACAAGTTAGAAAATTGACAGTTTCAGAAGATATAAGGGGCTAACATGGGTATGGTTTCTAATTGAAAGGATAGCATTTCAAGCCTTCTCTGGCTCTGGTCTATCTTTATTATTTGTTCTTCTTGTATAGACAAGTAGAAAATATATTTTTTGCTGACCTAAAATTGTTCGCTATCTAAACAAACCTGTTTCATCAATTGGTCTAAAATTCTCTTTCATTCTTGACTATTTTCTGTAATTTTTTTTACTAGAGTGTGTACTTTATCACCTAAATCTACTTTCTTTATTCAACAGAACTGTTGGATGATTCATAAATCCTATACGACTGCTATTATTATAGGTTATAGGTTCAGGCAATCAGCAGGCCATAACTTCAGCTATGCTTATAATAATCATTTTAATTTAAGTTAGTGAAACCATGTAGGCAATGCATGGATACCATGTATTTTAGTGACACGAGGAACCCTAATTACACTCAACATTTTAGCATAATGAGAGGAAACAATAAAAGGAATATGGACATTGATTAAAAGTAATTCTATATGTTGAATCAAGAAACAAGAGAAATTAGTCATACATCCCAATGTTGATAATAAAATTACAGAGTCTGCAAGTTGACCATCTGAGATAAGAATATAAGATAGCAAAAGTTAAACCTAAAAAAAAATAAGCATATCTAACAAGTGATGTAATTTCCTATGCAAATTTTGAGATTAAAAAGACAAATGAAAAAATCAAGGGTAACAAAAATGTATGCAATAGAGGAAATAAGATAAATTAGACATATCTCAAAGTTGATGATAAATTATAGAGTCTGCAGGTAAATCATCTGGGATGGAGATATAAAATAGCACAAGAGAAACCAAAATAATAGGTGAAGTGATTTCCTGTGAGAATTTGAGATTACAAAAATCAAACAGAAACTCAAGGGTGACATAAATATATGGCTTAGACTTTCTAGGTAATCTATTGGGCATTTGCATTAACTAGCGGAGGAAAGATTGGGCATTCTTCATAAGAAAAAAGATAATTAAGCAAGTAAGATTAGTAATAATTAGCTGCAAAATACAATTTTGCTCCATGTATCCCCTAGTTTTTAAAACAGATGCTCACATAGAATTATATAAACAGATTGCATGTCACCGTTAATGTTGCATTAAAAAAGGTTACCGTGCAAAAAGTTAAAAGTACCATATTACAGTTTCGATTTGCTTGGAAATGTACAACAAAATTCATAACGCCCTATGAAAGCATTAAAACTATGCTCTAATCCTGCACTTAAAAATACACAAGAAAAAAAAAAATGAAAACATGTCCATCTCTGTGCGAATAGCGGCATAGTTGTTTCTTGGAGCACAACATTACCAAATAAAACTGAAGAAATGGAGTGGAAAGATCCATTTATTTCTTTCGTACTTTCTTAATTGCAAGAAGCACGAGAAAGCATTTAAAAACATTTACATTGGTTTAGTTCTGGGGACTAGACAGTCTAATTATGTCTCTTACATGGTCTTCACTTGCTAGTAACAAGAAAAGAATTTACAAAAGCTTTATAAGGGTTTATCTCTAAGGATTAAAAAACAAGGGGAAGCGGGCTCTCTACAAATAAGAAGAACTTACAAGTGCTTTATGGTGAGCTCATGATATATCTTCAATGTAAATGTATGGGATAATTTATTCAAAAAAAAAAAAAAAAAATTGCCGAACTTCTGCTAACCTTTTGAAATATGCTCGTCTCTTCACCGTCGTATGATACAAGCAAAAACTCAGTTGCAATATAACAAGGGTGTAAGCTAAGTTACGAGGACATTCTCTTATCAATGTAGAACATTATAGAAAGCTGCAAATGGAAAGGACTATAAATTTATTCTGATTTAAGCTCCTACATCTCCATGAACAACGATAACAACAGATGGCAGCTTGCCTAAAAAGAGCCTGCTTATTTAAGTAGCTGTTATATTCTTCTAATTTATGGAACAATTATCAGTTCCACCAAGTTGCTTCAGTCATCATCATGAAAAACTCACAAGAAAAAGAAATGAGAGTTGATACGTCATCGAAAACTGTTTTGATTGGATATGAATCTCGATGCATATTTGAATTAAAAACTTCCAAAATTAAATTCAAAATCATCCAAACTTTGATTTCAACAAATATATAGTCAAACTAAACTTCTAAATGAGATGAACCCAACGATATCAAAAGTGTTTCAATCAAAAGTTCAAATGACCTCATAGGCTCATATCAAACACTTAAAGCGTAATTGAAAACTTCAACACACTAATTGGATGACTAAATGATCTATAGATATTGCATGCTTATAGTCAAATCAAGCACTTCAATGAGAAGGATCCAAAGAGCCTAAAATCGCTTAATTACGACATTAATAAGAACCTCAAGGCTAAAGGAATGTTTTATGAATGCAAGAATCAATACAAGTTGTTCGATGGATTGTTTCAAATTTTCTCTATACTTACAAGACATACCACTTTAAAAAATCTATAAATAGGCTTCCACTCTCTACATAAAAATGGAGGATGGGAAGCTTGGATCCCTTTGGGCCACAATCTGACCCTTGCCATCGAACAACCGCCCAACTGCCTCCATCAAATTACCAACTTCCACAACCCTAACACCGCTCGACTGCAGCCATCAGAACACCAATCTATTGCTGCTGTCGAAAAAAACCTAATTGCTACCATCAGAACACCGCCTGACCAACATCCTCTGACCACCGTCAGCTAACTATAGTCCTCCAACCTCTATCACCTAACTATGGTCTTCCAACCTCTAACCATTGTCATTCAGCTATGGTTCTCCGGCAACCATCGCCTAACTACGATCCTCCAGCCATGATAACCAAGTACGATCCTCTAGCCATCATCGCTTAACTATGGTACCCTAGCCACCAAAGCTAGACTATCGTCTCCTTATTATAGTAATCCGACCACGTTGCCTGACTATGGTCAATCAACCACCATCGCCTGATTATGGTCATCCGACCTCTATTGCCTGAATACAATCCTTTGACCGCTATCGCCCAATTACGGTCCTCCGACCACCATCGCCCAACTACAATCATTCGACCATTATCACTTGACAACAGTCCCCGACGATTGTCACTTGACTACGGTCCTCTATTATATAGTCTTCTACAGTTATAACCTAGCTACACCGACGCATGATGACTTCATCACCCACAATCACTAATAATGTCATTGCATGTCGTCGTTTATAAGATTGATGCATGTCATCAATACAAACTCTAACTCTCGACATTAACACTGGGATTTATATTGGACTTTTTTATCTTTGATCTTCTCTCCTCAATGGAATATGACCAAAGAAATAAGAAAATGATCTCATATGGATAGCTCCTATGCCACAGGGCCCTTCCAATTTTAACCACATAATATGTTTTATGCATTATATATTTACTACATTGAATCAATGCTTTTCTCCGAAAAAATGCATCATTTGTAGCCGATGACAAACACTAGTATAATCATTATTAGGCCAAGCCCATATTTTTTTTCTTTCTTATATTTTCAAAAAAAAGAATAAGCTAAGTTCCAATTCACTTCAATGAATACAAAATCTTATACCATTGATGAATAAAATGATTAGAATGGGAAAGGACATTTATGAATTGTAACAAATATATTAATCTTAACAGCATAATAAGCTAGAAGAGGAAAGTATCCAGAAATTCAAAGTAGGGAAATGGGCCAACAAATTTTCTTTCTTTACACAATTTTGAACACAGTTTTTAAGTTTATGTTACAAACCAAATAAAAGCTAAACTGCTCAAGATCAACCAATCAAGATTATTTTTTTATATTTCGACAAAGAATTTAAATTGTTAGCCTGTTAGCCAACCTTTCCATTGAGAGATTTTCTCTAATCGATGCAAGAATATTGCACGCCCTTAAACCCTAAACCCTAATACTGATTAATATACCCAATTTAAGCTAAGCTAACCTAATCTTTTTTAACTTAGTGTTACCTAGTGAAGCATAACCTTGCTAAGCTTATCTTAGCCTGGTCAAGTTAAGCCTGACTTACCAAATCCAAGTCGAGCTAAGTGACTTTTTAAGAATCATATCAAGACTTCACTTTCAATAAACAAGTTATTTGCATGTAAACATCCTCCAGCTGTTGTTATTATGTTCTTGAAACTAAAAGGTTTTCTCAAGTGGTGAAAGCTATATTTGAAAACTGAATACGCCATTTTATTGCAAAAGAACTTGCTATTATTAGTTTAAGGTTCTGCAAATATTACTTTATTAGTATTCAAGAAATCACATTGCTAGACAATTTTAGTGTTCCCGCATATTCCAGTACCAAATTCATTTATTTTACAGCCCTACTTATCTTCCACTCAACCTAACAGTCAATGACCAGAAAATTATGCAATATTTTAGAGTCAAACTCGGAAGCAAACAACAAGCAAGCATTAGCCTAGAAATAAGCCATAAAACAAAAGTAAAAACAAGGAATATTCAGAGAGAAAACTCTCGCCTGGAATGTTAGAGTTGGAGGAAGAAGATGGTTTTCTGACAAGAATATCTGTCAAGCTCCCTTCCGACGGCGTCTGGGATCTCAGCAGTGGCGTCGCCTACATTATAAAAAATATTTTTAAGGATTCGGAAAGTGAAAATCAACGAACCCCGAAATTAACAAGGACTGCTAAGATTGAGCTGACGATCTTTAAGGCCTGGATCCTCTCCAACATAGGGTCAGCGTTCTCTATCCTCTCAGAAACAGTGGTTATCTGATCGATCGGTGGCTGCCAAAAGAAAACACAAGATTGTTTCTTTCGAGAAATATAAACGATCAAGGCCGAGTTCAGAAGGTAGAAAAGAACCGTAGAGGCGGCAAATCTAAGACGGATTACCTGTTGATTCAATTTGGAGGCGACAGATTCAGATGCCCCCATTTGCCCTTTGCCCTTCTCACCGCGGAAATCTGTGACCTTAGTTAAAAAACTGAGTTCGGAAATTTGAGGAATATTATTGTTATTAATTATTATTATTATCGGATGAAATCATGAAAAGACCCCCAACATATAAAAGCTTGTGTTTTGTAGTGGATTTTAGGGAATTTTTTTTTTGGATGATATATAGAAATTTTTTTTTTTTTAGATATAGTCTTATGCTTTATTTTATGTTTATTAGTGACTTTGTGATGTGTTTAAATTGGAAATTTAATTTTTTCGAGCACTTCCCCAATTGGTTATTGGGGTTAGTTTGTAGTTCTTGTCATGATCGGGCACGGTATGATCTGTATGATATTGAGTCATATTAGGTCAAATTGTGACACTCCTTATGCATCTAACGGGCATAGATGCCTTACCACTAGCCTCCAATTAGCACAAGAGTTTCATCACAAGTCTCTCTTGAGGTTTTGCACTCAAGAGCCCTTTATCAATAATTGAGAAAAATGGACATGAGTAGGAAGAAAAAACCTTTGTAAAACTAGATCTCTTGAACATTCTTTCAAGAGATATCTTACAATCACTCCTAACTCAATCACCTTCTCTCCCTCACACAATAAAGTGAAACTCTCTCAAAAGCTCTCTCAGAGCTCCCTTGGTATCTCTCAAGAAAGCTTGAGCCGTCCTTTGATTTCTATTAAAAGAATATGGTATTTATATAAAGCTCTATTTCAAACTATAAATTTTTTGATAAAGTTAATTTGATAGGAAGATCATATAGTTTGATCCAAGATTGTACAGTGCGATATGAATAACCTTGTCGACTTATGAAACTAGATTGTCCTGTTTGAATGAAGTTCGTCTGAATAAACACTATGTATTCTTAGACTAAATGATGGGTATTCATCCCCTTGATTTTAAGTTCCAAAATAGGTAATTCATTATACATATCTTTAAGTTTTCTGTTGTATGAACAAGTTTGTATAATATGATAAATTTAAAGTTTAAATTGACCTATTTTTAGAAATTTCAAAATTTTGACGTTTTGAATTTGAAAAATTTATCATCCAGTATTATTAGTTACGTAATTTTTCAATTTCAATTTTAGTTTAATTAATCTCACTTGATTTTCAAAATTTGCAAAATTGCCACATATATAATACAGTACGAAGTAAATTGTATAGTATAATCTGGTCATAAAATTAAATTAACTCTATTTAATCTTATAATATCACTTATCTATGTGTGATTGTTCAACCAACTTCATTCCTAAAAATACAAAAGACTTAATAAAAAGAAAAATTGCAGTTACAAATTGACATGTGCACTCTATTTCTTGATCTTTATGGAACGAACAGATTTCTTTTGCTTTTAACTCTTTTAGTCTTAGCTATTCCTTTATCTTGAATCCATCACTTATGTGCTTTCTGCAACTAAAAGAAATTCCTGCACACATAGCTTGATTAGTAGCTAGTATAACCAATAATACTTGTAATCATCAAAACTCTAGTACATATAAGGTTCATAGGGTTTAACAATATCATATATGAAGCTTAATAGCTGAAGAAAATTTGGCCAAAGAAAAAAAAAATAGAAGCCCAAGGCAATAAAGTGATGATATTAAAAGAATAATCAGATTAAAAGAAAATGTGAGAAATGTTTTCATCATAGTCATTGCAAAAGGTAAAAGTAGTATGAATAAAAACATTAAATCTGAACAAATTATCAACACTTTTAAGGCCTAACCATAACAAGAAAACCACATAGCAAAATTGTTATACCACATGTGTTTATGCAATGGGATAGAATGATTTGAATGTAGGGTGATTCAAATCTTTCCAAAACAGACCATTCACATAAATCTTCATAATGTTAAGGTGAGAAATGACAATCTGGATAACAACATCATGAGAGGAAGGCATGTTCTAGTTGTTGATTGAGATGTTAGCATTAATGAGGATAGAAGAGAAGAATAAAGTGGAGTAAAAAGCTTCATAAAGAGATCTCCCATTACACGAAGGGTCCTAAAGGAAGGATATGTTTGAGTTATTAAAAATAATGAAAGTGAATTTTAGTTTAACCTTCTTTGTGGCCATACACAAATTTTCTCAGAAGCTCAAAGTTTTGACTAGTTGTTGCTTCTAGCAAGAGATATATTTTTCCTTACAACAAAGTGTCAAAATCTCATTAGAAGCTCATATGGTCTATAAAAGAGAGATGAGATGAGCAGAATTTAGACTTTGTATGCCAAGAATTTTCAAACTACCAAATTGCTCATGCAAATAAGTCTTCTTCCATGAGATGAGGTGTAGCTTGTGGTTTGCAGTGCAACCATAATGAAGTTTATTTATGGTTTTACAATAGTTTTTGGGGATAATAGATCATTTTATTTTATAAGAGATTCAATTCTATATACTGCATCTTACAAATTAAAGTCTATCAACAAAAGACAATAAATTAGCCATCTAGCCATCTAAGAGAGATATGATTTTTGAATAACATGTTGAAAATTAGACATGTAATATTTTTCTTGAGATAGGAAAGCTCATATATTTGATTGTGGAATCATAAATAGTGAGGTTTAAAGCAGTGCATATTTTAGAAGTATTTGAGATATTAGGGGGTGAGGGGGTGATTAAGTGAAGTGATGTTTTGAGAAGTAGTAATGTCAAAAACTAACAAGTTATTTGTATAAAGATGGTGAGAGAAGTTGATACAGATTTTACATATACCTTTATAAGAATTAGTTGGCATGGATTTGCTAAGAAGGTTTGATAAGCCATATGCAGTAGAGATAAAGAGATCAGGGGCAGCATTCCCTCAACATTGATGTTGAACTTAAATATCCTTCAAGAAAGTCATTGAAGCAACTTGAGAAATGAACATCTTCAATACAAAATTTAACTCACTCAAAGCACATGAGCAAGAAAGATGTAGTCAGTAGATATTCACTTATTAATAAAGTAATTTAAGGAGCAGTGTATGATATATGACACAAGGAGTTTGAGCATATTGACTAAAATCTTAGCAATGGTCATATAAATAATATTGTAGAGGGATATTAGCTTAAAATCAAATATGTTGAGGCATGTGGGGCTTTGGGAATCAGAGCTATAGCAGTAATCTTAACCATCCTTGAAAGTTGAGAGCTTATAAAGAAATATTTGACAAATTGAGGGTTTTGTAGTAGTTCAATTAATTTAGTAAAAGTCATAAATAAAATGATCGAGATCGAGGGAGAAGCCTTTGGGAGCATAATACTTTTGATTTCTTCATCTAAAATTTGGGCAATGTGAGAGGTTACCATGAGGAGATGGATCGAAGGAGAATCACATTATGACAATAGATTGAATTAATTGCACAAACCCAAATTCTTTAGGGCCGATTATTTAAAATTCGTGGGCGTTTATAGGTTTGAGCCCCCTTTTGATGGGTCCGGCCACAGGCGGTCAGAAGTTATTTATTTGAAATAGCATAAATGAACCAGCGGCTCAAGGATTTTCTGCAATCTCTGATACCCATCGCAAAACCCCACGGCCCAACGGTCCTCTTCCTTCTCGGAGAACTCCAACGGTCTTCTCTAGCCCTCTCCATTCAAACTTTGGTTCGCCTTGATTCTTACAAACTCGAAGAATCATCAGGTCGAATCCAAACAACGCAATTTCTCTCTTTGAACTAGTTCCGACAAGATCTACCATCACCCCGTTTCAAATCAAAACGCTGAGTTCTTTCGTAGATTTCGGCAAGGTTTTGAGAGGATGGACCAACAGCTGAATCCTCATCTTTCCACCGATAAACACATATGGAGCCAGATCTATAGAACATTGAAGGAAATGCTGAAGTCCCAGAGGTCGCAAATAAAAACCCTAATAAATGATCGTGAGTTTCTCGAGAACAACTTCTGCATCCAGCACGAATGTTGGAGCAGCAGGGAACGGTTTCTTGAGTCTTGCATCGCTCAGGTAGACTGTAGACTATTGCTGATTACCTTTTTGCTTTGGCGAAACCCTGAGGCTTATTTTGGCAGGTGAAACTTGAGGATTTCTTTTGGGTATCTTTCTAGGGTTTTCTTCATACTGTTACTTTTTCTTTGCAGATGAAGGAAGAGCAGGCTAAAACTCGCCTGGTTGAGGATGCGAAGATGCTTGTTTGGGTTGGGTTGAAGGAGTCAGAAGCGTTGAGCTACAGGATGCAGTTAGGTGAGATTTGATTTTATGAAAGACAGAAAATATCTACTTTTTTACCTTGCAGCAGCCAGCAGTGACTCTTATGTCATGAAGTCGGTGTAGAGTCTCAGCCGTTGCATCTTTAGGCATATACATCAATTTAGAGCATCTCCAACCAAAAATCTCATTTTTCACTTCAAAATGCGAAGAAACTAAAAAATGCCGTGATTCATCTCCAATCTAACTCCATTTTGCGCATTTCTGCCAAGGTAACCGTCCTTCTCCTCTTTCTCGCATTTCTTCGGCAAATCCGGTTGAGATAGAAATATCGCGTAGGTGAGCAGTGTCGCACTGTTCACCGACAATCAAATAGCGGAAGATTTGGTGTTCACCGGCAATCAAATAACGATGTTATATGCATGTTTGGCGTTCGGTTGGAGATGTCCTTCTCCTCTTTCGCGCATTTCTTCGGCAAATCCAGATGAGATAGAAAAATAGTGTAGGTGAACAGTGCAAACGCCAATATTGGCATGGAGCCATCGAACGATGTCATACGCATGTTTGACATTCGGTTGGAGATGCCCTTAGGTATATGACGTATACTGCTTTTTCCTAAAGATTCACATGGTTGTAGAATCCTTGGCGCCTAATTGCTAAGACGAGTTTTGCTAATAGTTGAAATTTGTCTAGACATCACATGAATGACCATTTAGAATTAGAAAAAAAGGTTTATACGAGAAGAATTAACGAAAATTTTATTCAGAAAATTTGTACTCAATGCTTTCTTTTAAGAACTCAAAGAAGAATAGCAACCCTGGTTGATTTAAACTTAGAAAAGAGTTTCTTCATCATTTTTTATGATATATTGTAGACAACCTCAGGTGCATATCCAGCATATTAAGTTTAAATAGTTCAAATTAAATGGGCAGGATGTATGATCAGGCAGAGTGCTGGTGTTAGAGCATTTAGAGTTTTGGTTCATGGGCTGCAACATCTTGTGGATGGAGTAAACGAGGCAAGAGTAGCTATCAGTGTGAACACATCTCTAAAACTAGTGTCTACGTGCCCTAGACTACTAGATGATAGTTAAGAGACAAAGTTAGCTGGCAGGTCAACAAACCTTGTAACTGTGCCTTGTCACTCCTAGTGCACATTACTAAGGGCATCTCCAATCGAAAATCCCATTTTTCACTCCAAAATGCATTGAAACTAAAAAATGTTGTGATTCATCTCCAATCGAACTCCATTTTGCACGGTAACCGTCTTTCTCCTCTTTCGCGCGTTTCTTCCGCAAATCTGGTAGTGACAGAAAAATAGCGTATGTGAACAGTTCTACTCCAATATTGGCAATACACTGTTCACCCGCAACCAAATAGCGAAGTTTTGTCATTCGGCTGGAGCTCGCATCTATCATGTGTTTGGAGTTCGGTTGGAGAAGGCCTAACAAGCCTTGATTCATGTATATGAGATTTTCTTTAATTAAAATACATTAACCTTGCAAAGTTGCCACGTTGGGAGAGTAAGAGACCGCAACGATGCGCATTGAGTAGAAATTCTCTACATTGACAGTGTAACCATTGGAAGGCCAAATCAGATTGCTTCCTTGACTAAAACTGCAACAGCCTAAGTTTCTTTGCAGATCTACATTCTGCTTTCTTTTTTTTCTCCGTATGCTTTACTGGGATCCAACTCTTATTTTCAAATAGATAGATCTGCCATTTATCTCACCTCATCATCAGTCATATTGTTCCAAGTAGATTACAACTGTGATTTATTCGGTACGATTTGGCATAATAATATATAGTGATAGACAACAATATGCTGCCTATATTTCTATTCTACCTGATTGGAGATGAAACATTTACTCTTTTTTTTTTTTAGTAAAACTACCTCATCCATGGTTGAAAGGCCACTTGAGCATTGCCAACCAATTTCAGTATTCTATACACTATACATACTTTAATTTGGGTCGCAAACCATCTCTCTTGGTGTATGAAACTTTGTTTCAACCACTTCAGCAAATCCAATCCTGACATATATTTGTGGAGACATTGTGCTATTTTTTAAATAATGTCAATGAAAAGTATATGATTTCCCTTATATTATGGCTTTTATGATTTATGTTGCTTCTGTTCCAATGTTTTGAAGGGAAAGATATTGCATATGCATGTTTTTGTGAGGCATATTAATCATGGCTGAGAGCATTAGCTTTTTTAAATGCCGTGCCAGTTTTGCGTAACATCATTATTGTTTTTAATCATTTTAGACTTCTCATGTGCTTATTTTTCTTAAACAGTTTTTTTCCATTGAAACTAGTATTAAGATTTTCCTTTAAACCTTTCATAGCTTTTATTCATCAACAACTGGTCTAATCTTTCCAAATTTGCCTGATCTTACAATTTGTTGGCCTTTACTCATTAGAGCTTGCTGAAAGTGATTTGGAGGAATTCCGTTCCTGTGTGGAGGTGGTAAACGCTGAGATGGAAGAGCTTAAGGTATTGTTAAACTTTTCAAGTCATCAAAGAGAACTCATTTCTTTACTTTTATTGGGCAGTAAAGGTGGCTCTAACAAAACCTTGTTTTTTGTAGGAAAAGTTGAAAGTATTTGGAGCTAGTGAAGTTAAGAATACAGATTATATCATTGATCACCCTGGCTCTTCAGAAAATTTGAAGGGAAGGAATCAACTCACTACGCCATTGAAAAAGGAAATAAAGAAACTGAAGCATGCTTACAGGGAGCTTAGTTCAAGAAGGGATACTGAGATTTCCGCTCTGTTAGCGGAGAAGGATTTTGTATGGAACCAGTTTAGGAAGATGGAGAGCGACTACATTGCCCTTTGCAAGAGCAAGCGTACAGAAGCTGATCTTCAGTCCAGAGAAGCTGCTGATAAGCTCCAAGATAGTGTAGAAAAATTGCAGCAGGAAATAAATAATAAGGATGAGATTATAGTCAAGTTAGAAGCTGAACGATCCATGATTGCGTTAGATGCCAGGAAGCTTGCTGAGGAAGTAGAACAGGCTAATAATAAAATGAAGATGCTTCACACCGATATGGATGAGCTGCGCTTGGCCTCCTTGGAGAAGGAAAAACTAATTGATAACTTAAGAAAAGAGCTTTGCAACCTTAAGACAGATTTGAAGAAAAATAGTGTTGAAAAGTCCATTTCTTTGGAGAAAATTAAATCTGAAAGGAAGTCCCAAAATGGATCGTCTACAATAAGACAAATTCATCTGCAGAGATGCTCCAAGAAACGGAACTTGGAAAGTTGTGACAACCACACAAGTCAAAAACATACAAATTCCTGTGGAGTTACTAGTGAAAAACCAGCATCTGATAATGATCATGTGAGTTGCATATCTAACTCGAGTCTGATCTAACCTTTGAGCTTTTCCTTTTTTTCTTTCTCTTTCCTTTCTAATTCTCATATGAATGCTAGAAGCTGTTTGTTATAATTGTTTTCCCTAAGTTAATCATGTTGATTTCCTTTACTATCTCAGCATTTATGTGGTTGAAAGTTTTTCAAGATATGCTATTGGATAATTAGCTAAATGCTTTTCACTTATTGTGCACCTCCTGTCATATTTTGATAATTTTAAGCATAGATTTGTTAACTTGTCTAAAAAGGGCCATTTGATCCTCTAGCATATTTTGTAAAACTAAGGGAAGTTGTGACACCTGCATAAGTCAAAAGCAGACAAAAAATTCACGTTGGTTTATTTTTGAAACACCAACATCTGATAATGCTGTTGTGAGTCGCTTATCCAACTTGAGTTTGATCTGACCTTCAAGTTTTTTTTTTCTTTTCTGTTTCTCATGAGTCATGACCATCGTTATAACTGTTTTTTATGGAAAATTTTCATTTTTTTTACAAGATTATGACATTTGTAATTTTTGCTAAAGTTAATCATGTTAATTGCCATTACTAGCTTTACATTTATGCAGCTAAAATATTTTCATGATTTATTGTTGGATTATGGGCCATATGTTTATGCACATGTGGTTGATGTAGGACTAAAATGTCTAAGTAATGTTAGGAAAGAACCTTGCACAATTTAATTGAGAGAGCATTATTAACTAAAATACTTGTAGTGATTAAACGATGAAATAAAATAAGAAAGGGATGAGACAAGCTTAGGGAAAGTCACACGATTAGAGGTTAGGATCTCAAAATAATCAATAATTCAAAACATAACATACATGAAAGATTTCCAACAAGAAATCCCTACGCTAACAATGAGATTATTCACTATGAAGAGTCCTTCACTCACTTCTAATTATTCACTATGAAGATTCCTTCACTCACTTCTAGTTTACTAGGCTTTGTAGAAAGGTTTAACACTATCGTAGTAAATCAATTAAAACCACAAGTGGGGGTAAGAGTCAGGTAGGAAAAGATTAGGGAAAGATTCACCTTGTTTAGGATTTGGAGACAATCTACCATTGGACGAAAGAGAGTTGCTTCTCAATAGAGCCAGCGAGGGTGAAGATGATCCTTTCCACGCAATCCTCCACGGTTTGGTCAACCTCAAGGTTAAGATCGAAGAAAGGGGAGTTGAGAATGTCGACGTGGCCTTGGTCGTCGTAAACAAATTCGTGGTCACGTTCCGGATCCGCCATGCATGGGTAGAGAAGTTTGTAAGGTGTGGGAGGGAAAGTGATGTGATCTCTTCTCTCTTCCTTCCTTAGGAGAAGTATCAAGTCAAAGACAATGGTGGAGAGATGAGGTGGATGGTCGACCAATATTAGGAGGGAGAAGCAACTTCCAAAAATCTGAAATTGAATTTCAGATTTGAATAGAAGGGGGATTAGGGTTTGAAATTTGAATTCCAAGCAAGGAGAGGGAAAGGAAAATTATTCCTAATTGAGAGACTTGATTAGGTGTTGAGAAGGAGGGGAGTCAATGTGGGGAGAGAGAGAGATATGGGGAGAGGGGGCAGGCGGCTTCAAGAGGGGGGAGGGGCTTGTGGGAATGAAATCAAGGTTTACTTGATTTGGAATCTTAAATTAGGAAGGATTAATTTAATTTCAGACTAATTTAAAATTCAAATAGGATTGATTTTGGGAACTTTCTTAAAATAGAACTCTATTTTAGGAAATATTTCAAAATTCAAAATTGATTGAATAATTGAAATCAAAGCTTTCCAAATGAGGTTGGCTGGAGAAAGGAAATTAGTAATGAGAGGTTTTGAATTTTGGAGGCAGGCAAGGGGGAAGAGCTATGGCCGGCGGCTATGCTAGGTTAGGGTTTTGGGGTTGGCGGTTTGGAGGTGGGAGAGGGTGGCCGGTTGGGTTGTAGTGGAGGCGGGGTTTAGCCGGGCAACGAGGTGGGGTTATGGGTGGCCGGCCCTTGGAGAGGGACGGTTGGGGGTTCGGCCAAGAAGTTTGTAAGGTGTGGGAGGGAAAGTGGTGTGATCTCTTCTCTTTTCCTTCCTTAGGAGAAGTATCAAGTCAAAGACAATGGTGGAGAGATGAGTTGGATGGTCGAACAATATTAGGAGGGAGAAGCATCTTCCAAAAATCTGAAATTGAATTTCAGATTTGAATAGAAGGGGGATTAGGGTTTGAAATTTGAATTCCAAGCAAGGAGAGGGAAAGGAAAATTATTCCTAATTTAGAGACTTGATTTAGGTGTTGAGAAGGAGGGGAGTCAATGTGGGGAGAGAGAGAGAGATATGGGGAGAGGGGGCCGGCGGCTTCAAGAGGGGGGAGGGGCTTGTGGGAAAGAAATCAAGGTTTACTTGATTTGGAATCTTAAATTATGAAGGATTAATTTAATTCCAGTCTAATTTAAAATTCAAATAGGATTGATTTTGGAAACTTTCTTAAATAGAACTCTATTTTTAGGAAATATTTCAAAATTCAAAATTGATTGAATAATTGAAATCAAAGCTTTCCAAATGAGGTTGGCTGGAGAAAGGAAATTAGTAATGAGAGGTTTTGAATTTTGGAGGCAGGCAAGGGGGAAGAGCTATGGCCGGCGGCTATGCTAGGTTAGGGTTTTGGGGTTGGCGGTTTGGAGGTGGGAGAGGGTGGCCGGTTGGGTTGTAGTGGAGGCGGGGTTTAGCCGGGTGAGGAGGTGGCGTTATGGGTGGCCGGCCCTTGGAGAGGGACGGTTGGGGATTCGACCAAGAGAGTGAGGAGGGGCTTTGGCCGACAGTGGGGAGGGGAAGGGAGGAGGGAAGAAGGGGAGCAACGATGATGACCACGAAACCCGGCCACTTCATGCAGTTGGTGGATATTGCGATGCCCTCACCTAGGGACTTCAAGCTCTCAAGAATTCTCAAGCTCTCTCCAAACACATGGATGCAGAAATTTTCATAATATTCATTCATTCATTAACCCTCAAAGAAAGAGGGGAATGCTTTAAATAGCCCAAACAATAAAGAAAATACAAAAGACTTAATTGCCCCTATGACATACACATGACTAGGCACTTAAGCGAGGGCATAAACGGAAAAGTACAATAAACTCATGAAACATAAACTAATAAATCTAATACAATGATAATCAAAAGTCAATCGATGCGATCGTGGCCGTAGATCGTCAGCCTCGTAAACTCTCCAAGGCTTGATGTCCTCATCAGTGGTACTTATGAACCTAGTCATCTTATTATATTTTTAAGCATTAACTAGCTAACTTGACTAGAATCATCATAGAGCCTTGCATATTTGGAAAACTAATAATTATAGCATGTCTATTGGAACGTGGATCATGTTGACACTGACACATACGGTCCAAATAACTTTCTGATCGAATTAAAATTCACATTTTATCCATAACTCGTATTAGGTTGGTTTATCATATTCATATTAGATTTTAGGTTGAACCAAAAGTTCAAATTTGCCTTATGTGTCACGACCCGACCCGAATGCTCGATCTAACGAGGCGGGCACGAAAAGTCGGACGATAAAATTTCTTAAACATTATCCTACTTCATTTGCTAAAGAGCCACTAAACACAAAATATAAATTACCTATTGATATCTGCACGTCGTCTTCGGTAAACATGTTCTTCTCTTTGAGCCATTTCTTCTTTAAGAACTTACCTGAAACATTTAAACTCGTGGGTTGAGTTTACTAAGTAAACTCTGTGGGTAAATATTTGAACAATTAAAATAAATGTTCTTATTTACAATACTCTTATAATCTTCAACCTGTATTTAACCATTCATTCAATTTTTTTCTATTTATTTCGATAATTTATACATATTCGATCATTTTGCCTTAAAACATTTAAAGCTATCTTGATTATTTCCTTTTTCCCATTTAATTCATACAGGAGCACCGTCTCAATGTACTCAAAAGTACAACCTTTTCCATTTTTCCTTTTCCATTTCCATTACCTTTTCCTTTTCCTTTTTACGTGCATGAGTACGGCGTCCCCAGCCAGTACCATAAGGGGGTGAACTCCTGAAATATTCATATATATCCTTTTCCTTTTTTTTTTACATTTACCATAACATTTCTATTCAATTTCATATGTCATTTCTTTTCGTTAATACATGTATTTTCTTTTCATTCATATGTTATTCAATTAATTTGTTTCTTATTGGAATAATACTTACAATTATTTAGGTATTTAATCTTTCAATATTTCGTACATTGTAGTCTTTAAATTAAAACTTTGAAAGCAGAATAATAATACTAAAATTTGAATTTCATAATTATAATTACCCACTTTGAACTTTTCAGGGCTTCGACGAAGGGTGTTACCTCGAACCTCTCTCCAAATCTCTAACATCAAGCAATAAAGTTTCCATGAATTTGCTTTATCAAATAAAATTCAAGAATAGTTTCATGATAGAAATTTCTTACAATGGAATTTTCCAAATCTCCCAAAAATCCTTCTTCCTTTTCCAAAATTCTCTCTCTTTGCTTCAAATCTCTTCCTTTATCTTCAAGAAGCATATTGTTCACTTTAAACAAAGAAAAAAAAAATTATACAAAAATCCGTAAAGAAAATCCAACAAACCTTTTTCTTTTCCTCGTTCGTTTCTCTCGTTCTTCAAATCTCTCCAAAAATAACACTCTGATAACAATAAGAATGAAAAGGAATCGTTATTTCTTATCATTGAAAACAATAGTGTACTTAATTTGGAAAAACGAAACTCACTTTGCTCTCCCGCACGAACGCTCCGTCGCCCGTCCCTCTGTGTTTCACGAACGCTTTAGTTCCGCGAACCCCTTTTATTCGCGGTGTTAATAGGGTGAGCCGGCCGGTTCAGTTGAACCAGTTGTCACATTATGTCAAGGAGGAAGTGGACAAGCTATTGGATTATTTCATAAAAAATTAGAATGCATTTCAGGTACTAATGATCTTGGTGACAATGATTCATATGATGTTAGCATAATTATCTTGATCATCTTATTAAAAAATCAATTAAAATTTTCATGAAAAGATAATTCACTTACATACAAATATAAATAATCATAATATAATAACTGTGTATATGGTGCATTGACAAGATCAATCTAATTATCAAGAATGTTCAGCATTGGATAACTAGTCGGTTTCTTCATTAATAAGGAAAAGATAAAAAAAAATCAGCGCATAAAGCCATAAAAATCCGCATGCAAGAGCAGAAAATGAGCTCTTGAGAGCAACATAAATGACTCGGGCATGAGATTAAAGCTACACAAGTTGAAGTTCTTCACTACTAGTTCATGTAACTTAGAAAAATTAAGGCTCTTAAGTGCTGCTATTTGTCTCTTCATTTCAGTATCTCTCACCTGTTATATTGATGATTCTTTAGCAAAATTTTAGTGCTTGCAGCATGTTAACTGCATCATTAGATGAAACTTCTTTCTAACGATTACGAACTTTGATTTCCTGTTCATTATCAGAAACTTGGTAAAAGTATGACTGAGAAAAAGGGGAGATTTCTTTCACCAGTAGGGATGCAACCGTCACTGTTCCATTCTGATTTCAAGGTTCCCAAGTTGAAGAGGGCTAAACTGCTCATATAATTTTTTATTTTTTATTTTTCCCTTTTTCATCATTATTGCTGTGACAAATTATGCATGGCTTGTCTCATATTTAGTGTTTTATCTGTGTAATCTATGTATATAGAGTGTAGTATTCTCAGGCTCTGTTTAGGACGGCTTTTTTGCTGCTTCTTAAACTAGCTTTTTAGTACAAAAAAGAAATTTTTTTGTACTAAAAAACTGCTTTGAGAAGCATTAACAAAGCCGTCCCAAATGAAGTCTTAGTTTTGGATTAGTTGTTGTTTCATCATATATTTAAAAACTTAGACAATGATAGCAGAAGTTTGTTGGTTCTTCCAATTTAAGCAAATTTTAGGTTGCTAGGAGCTTTTTTTTTTTTTTTTTTGAGATATTTTTGATCTGCTATGTTATGGAATTTATTATTGAGTATAATTTAGGATCTCTTTGTGATAGTTTTCTTGTCGCTTTGTTTTTCATATAACAATTACAATTTCATTTGATTACTATTTTTTTATTATTTTCTTACTACACTTAGTTTGATAAAAATTTGTTGTTGTTGTAGTAGTACTCACACATACCTTCAATATTTTTATGCAAAATCTGGACTTCAAATAACTCCAAAATGTCATATTAAAAACTTCAAAAATTTATTTCATGACTATGATCATCTATCTTCATAAATTTGCACTTAATCATCATCTTGTGGTATCGATTCCAATGACATCACAATTATGATATTCCAAATATTCTCGTGGCTTAAATTGGCTGAACTATATCAATTCAGATCAAACCTATAGGATGACCACCTTCACCACCTTCAGGTTGTGCCATCTCTACTTTCAAGGGAGGATTTATTCAATCAATTTTAGGTTTCGTTTGGGGCGGCTTTCTTACTGCTTTTTAAAGTATCTTTCTAGTTCAGAAATTAAAAATTTTGTACTAAAAAATTGATTTATAAAGCAGTAAGAAAGCCGGTATTGGCCCGTTGCCACGCCAGCTTGTGACGCGCTTGGTGATGTCCACTAATCCTCAGCGAGTCTACCAGCAACCAACCCCACAGGTGCAGGACCCACAGTTTTTTTCTCTCCACTTTAGGAGTCGTGTCATATGAGAGGGGATTCGAACTTGGGATGGGGGTTCCCAACCAATCATGCCCACCAACCCACTTAAACCCGGTGGGGTATCATTCTATATTTAAATCCTGTCTTCTCCATCCCCAAATAAGGACATCCCAATCATCCATAATGATTTTGTCGATCTTACCTAATGTTAATAATATATTAGGCTTTGTTTGGAACGATTTTCTTAATGTTTTTTAAAACAACTTTTTAGTACAAAAATTTATAGTTCAAAAAACTTTTGTATTATGCTTAAAAAAATGATAAGAAAGCCATCTCAGGTTTCATTTAAGATAACTTTTTTACTATTTCTTAAAACAGCTTTTAATACAACAAATTTTTTTTTTGTATTAAAAATTTGTTTTAAGTAGTAAAAAAAGTCATCCCAAATGAAGCCTTAGGCTTTGTTTGGGATGACTTTCTTACTGCTTCATAAAATAGCTTTTTAGTACAAATATTTTAATTTTTTACTAGAAAGCTGTGTTTTTTTAAGATTAAAAAGTTGTTTTAAAAAGCAGTAAGAAAGTCATCCCAAATGAAGCCTTAATGTATAGGATTTCAATTTAATTTAGTCAATGAATCATGTTTAGATTTAATTTAGGAAGCAGACATTTCAACAATCATAACCAATACTAAGCTTTATACGATTAAATCAAATTAGCATTAAGTAAGCAATAAGCGTACGCATACTTTATCACATTTTTAATCCATTTTTTAAATTAAAAAACGAAGTAATCACTAACAACCCTTAAATTTCATCTTTTCATAGAGATTTTTTTTTTTCAATACAGTTTTTTATGCGTACTCTCAAAATTTTCTATCAATCCTACCAACGTTTGATTATGATTTATGATAATTAAGTATTTTATTTGGGTAAGTTTAAAAGAAATAATAAATATTGGATTTCTAGATATATTACATAAAATATTAATCATAGACGCTGTAAGGGCATTTTCATCATAAAACCCAAATAAAGCAATTAAAAATTGTAATTATTAATGTGTAAGACAGCACATTCATCAAACCATTAACGTGAGATGCAAGATTGATAGCTTTAAATTTAATTTAATGAATTTTAATGAACAATTATTAGATTAAGAGTCTCTTTGGGATAATCTTCTTATTATTATTTTTATTTTTCAAGCTGCAATAATAGTTTTGACTACTATTTCTTGTCATTTTAAATGAATTTTTTACAATAAAACAGTTTTAAAATCAATTATTTTTCCAGCAGCAGCTTTATAATTATTTTATAAAAAATTGCGGTCGACTCAAATAGATTCTAAATGCATTTCAAATATCAAAATTAAGGGCTTATTTGGAATAGCTACAGTTTTTTTGTAAATATGATTATGATGAGGATAAAATAATTTTTTTAAAAACTACGATAAAAAATAGTTTTTTATTATAAAAATCTCTAAAAAAAAAAAAAAAATCTAAATAAAAATTATGATTATGATCTGAAAAAAAAAATGGTATTAGACCGAGCCTATGTTTGAAGTTAGAAAGAAAAGATTTCAAATTAGATTTGGGTGATGTATGATTGCATACCTTGTTTTCGTATAGTGGAAATGTTTGGAAAAAAAAATTAAAAATTGCATAATAGAAGGACAATATTAAATGGATCAAAATACTAGCTTTCTCTTTTAGTAAAATGGTCGAAGTAGGAAGGTAGGATTGCAGTATCAAAATATTATAATAGATCAAAATATATATACACTGCAATTTATGGTGGGTGTGATAGTGATAAACATTTTAAAATTAGTTGTCAAATATATGTTTAACACTCCACATCCTTAAACAAAATTTGGGTCAATAGTGAAGTAGCAAATCATGATTATTTTTAGGAGAACTTATATACATATAATTTTATTTCATATCTTTTACATATCTAACACTCAAAATTTTAATATTACATTACTACCACTTATATTAAATTTTAATATCAAATATATCACTCATATATTTCGCTCTTACCACCTATATCATCCTATAAACTTTAATATTTAATTTCATGCACCCATATTTGTTCAATAGGTGGTAGACATATAATATTAAACTTTTAGGCATTAAATATGTAAATAACATAAAATAAAGTGGTATGTAAGTAAATCCCCCTTATTTTTAATGATTGGGTCTTTTTTTAAAGAAATATAAGTATTGAAATATAAATTAAATTATAGAGATGTTCAATCACAAACTTTGATTAAATTTTTTTAAAAAATATTAATTAATAAAATTACTTGGCACTCGTAATTATTTTTTATGTAAAACTATTTATTTTGTCTTGATAAGACACTTGTTTTGAGCAAATTGTTAAAAAAAATAAATGACGAAAGCCCTTATCACTATTCAAAGTTTATGTTGAGTAATAATTTAACGATTGCTTGACTTATAATCAAATAAATATAACTCCGATAATTTTTTTTAATTTAATTTAACAGAACTATTGTTCTTAAAGAATAAAATAATATAAAATCAGTTTTTATAATTATAATTGTTGCGGGCTAGAAATTACGCGGCGATAGAGATTTGATTCTACGTCTTAGCGTTGTACGTATAACTAGCACACACAGAGAACACAGGATTTTTTACGTGGAAAACCCTTAAAAGGGAAAAAACCACGAGGCCTAGCCCAGTTGAAAATACCCTAGGCTAAACCCTAAGCAGCTAGGCCGTCATTGCCGCTACACCACCGCTACTACAGTGTTGCTGCCGCTGCTTCACCGCAAATCTGGAAGTAGCGACTGGTCCAATGGGAGCTCAGTTCGTGCTTTTTTTCAAACAGTCCGCATGACGGCGGGCAGCGAGGCCACAGGACAGTGAGCCTGGCAAGTCACGAGTGTGGGCGGAATGATCTGAATGGACTCGGCGGACTTGATTTAGGGTTATTGTCGGGTTGATTTCGGGTTGCCAGGTGAACCCAAACCCGACCTATTTTTTAAACGGGTTAAAAATCCAAACCCGACCAGTTTTCCATTCGGGTTAACCCAAATTCGAATTTTCCTGGGTCAGGTCCGAGTCGTCTTTCAGGTCTTGTCAAAATTTGACACTCCTAAAATCATTGGGCCACGACCAGTTGAAATGATCCCACGAGTGTTTGAATAGATTATAAACGATCGATTCATCATTGAGATTGAGGACGATCAAATTATAATAGTTAACCGTTAGGTTGAAATCTTATGACAAAAAGGGATCGTGTGGAAGTCCAATGGTATTTGATGGACATGCGGAAATCTAGTGTCAGTTGGTGGTCGCGCAGAAATTCAGCGTTAGTATATTAATATTAAAAATATATTTATTGTGGACTAGAATATTTGCAGCGGTAAAGTATCAGATTTCTCGTCTTAGCATTACATGAGTATCCAGCTCATAAATACAGAAATAATAGAAACACTAGATTTTTTTTGTGGAAAAGCCTGAAGGAAAAAACCATGTGGTCACACCCAGTAGAAATGATTTCACTAGTATTTAAATATATTACAAATGATTGATTCGTCCGTCGTTAAGATTGAGGACGATCAAATTATAACAATTAACCGTTATGTTGAAATCTTTCGATGAAAAGGGATCAGACAAAATTCTAATAGCATTTGGTGGGTAGGAGGAAATCCAACGTCACTTGGTGGTCGGGCAAAAATTCAACGTCAGTCGGTGGCCGGACAAAAGTCCTGCGATAGTTCGACAAAGGTCGATGGTTAGACGGTGGTCGAGGGGGAGGAATCTGGTGGCAAGAGAATTCTAATTGTTCTCTCTTTCTTCTCTTCCTTGCTTGGGTCCCCTTTAATAAGGAATGAGTGGTCTATTTATATTTTTTTTAGTGGCATGACCAGTAAAATAGGGAGAAAATCAAGGGCATGTTGGTAGTGTTTTGAATGGACGTCCGATATTGACTCTCTTGATTGTGTACCACTTATCGAGCATTTGAGTATCTTAGTGATATCAAAATTTTGCAATCTTGGGCTCGTTGCATTTGTCTCGATGAGCCACTCGATTCGACTATAAACATGTCTCGTTTGAAAATCACTTGGTCGTTCAATTTATGGTTTGAATCTTCCAAATTTGCTTTGGGTTTTTGATTTGGACCCATTTTGACTATTGAGTCGAAATTGGTGTCGTTGGGTACTTTCATCTTTTCTAGATGTTTAGTTCGACTATAACTTTGCTGAAATTGTAGTTGGGATGATCCCGGATTTAGTTTCTGAAGTTTCTAGCTCAAATTCACGTTGAGATTCGCGCCCAATCAAGGTGGTGGTTCGACGGAACTCCGGGGGTCAGGTGGTGGTCTGGCTGAACTCCGCTCGTCAGGTGGTGGTCCGAAGGAACTCAAGGTGTCAGGTGGTGGTCCAACGAAACACAATACGTTAGATGGTGATCTGGCGAAACTCTGGCGTCAGGTGGTGGTCCAGTGGAACTCCGGGCGTCAGGTGGTGGTTTGACAGAACTCCAGTGTCGGGTGGTGGTCCGATGGAACTCCGGTGTTGGTGGTGGTCCAGCGGAACTTGAACGTCATTTGGTGGTCCGACTAAACTCAGGGCAGTGGTCGAGGAGGAGCGAGGAGGCAAGAGCGATATCCGATCTCTCTCTTGTTTCCTTTGGATCAGGGCCCATTTTCAAGAGAAATGATGAGATTTACATACATACCACTTTATTTCATGTTATTTACATATATAACACTCCAAACTTTAATATTACATTCTTGCCACTCGTATAAAATTTTAATATTAAATATATCAATTACATATTTCATTCTTATCACTCATATCACCCTATAAACTTTAATATTTCATTCCATGCACCCATATTTATTGTTTGAGTGTAGTTATATAATATTAAAGTTTTAGAAATTAGATATATAAATAGCATGACATAAAGTGATATGTATGTAAATCCCCCTTTATTTTAATAATAATAATAATAATAATTTATATGCTACCAAAAATGTTTATGTATTGCGTAATTTCCAGAGAGTTTCTGATCTGTTTGCGTTTTAAACTTTTAATTTCTCATCGTAACTCACTCCAATGCTGCTAGCACTTCGGTTCAACTCAGAATTTGTTTTGAACCGGACGAAAATTTGATGGATTTTAAGTTCAGTGAGCTCGACTCATAAAGTTTTACTAGAGTAAAGTTGATAATTTCAAAATTCGTTGTAACTCCACCAGCTACGGTGTTTGACCCCCTCGATCGTCTGCTCAACTAGCCGTTCTTTTTCTATTCCTCCTTTGCTATGGCTTCGATCTCCGGTCTCGATAACCCCATTGAAGAGTGCAGTAAATAGGAGCAATAATCCATGGAGGAGCGATGATGCAAGAGAGCTTGCAGCAATATAAACAATAGATCGATTTCCTCTTGTTAGCTTTCTTCATTTGCTTCTCGCCGTCCTCGGTTTCTGATTTAATAGCTCCGGCGATATCAGTTAGGGCGAGCAAGGAATCTGGCTGCCGAACATGGGGAAGCGTGCGGCGGCGCGTGCGGAGAGGACAGAGAACGAGCTCGCATTGCCCTCGCAGAGGTTGGTGGAGGCGGCGTTGAATGGGGAGGTGGAGGTCGTGGAGGAAAGTCTCGCTGCTGCAATTGCTGGAGCCGCGAGTGAGGTCGTGGTGGATGTGAACTACATTGGGACTGTGAACTTGAGGGTTAAGTGCTCGGAGGTGGTGCTTGGAGAGGAGAGGGCAGACGAGGTGAGGATCGGATACGAGGAGTTCAGGACCGACGTTTCAGCGCTTTTCTCCGCCGCGCATTCCGGCCATGTCGAGGTTGTTCGGAAGTTGCTGGTGAATCTCTCAGCTTAAACTCGGTTATTCTAGTTTTTCTATTCCATATTTACCTCCATGGTTAAACGAAGGTTTTGCTATACCCTTTTAAACGAGTATCACTTAGATCGCGACAATAATGATTTGTTTTCATATTTCGAATGATTGCCTATTAATGATATCAGCAATGGTTCCTTTGCTTCAGGTCGAAATTTAGGAAGACTGATTGTCGCTTTCTTTTCTCATCAATAGTTTGAAATTGTGTCATAATAGCAATGCTTTAATTCCATTGATGGAATTCTACCTGTTAATGGATATGAAGAATAAAAAAGCGTAAGGTGGCATTTGCTTGTCTAAGTTTATAAAAAAGATATTTGTATAAAACTCCATCTGGTTTGATCTTTTGGCAAAAGATGAACAATAATTTCAAATGTTTACAAACAGGGATAATGGTTGCTCTATTTTGCAAGCAAGAAATCAAACCTTATTTTTATGCAAGTTCTTGGAACAAGAGAAACTCTAAAAATACTGATAGGATTTGTATGAAAGCTCATATAATATCGTGCTAGGTGTAATATTGAATTTCCCCTAAATATCATAGGACATCTCAATTGTAGGCATGTCAGAATGAAATAATCATTCAATAAATAATTGAGATGAAACAACTTAAAAAAAAAACTCTTAGAGAGGCTATCAGGAGTATAGAGCTCTTGAAATGAATCCCTATCATGACAAGACCTCTAAATAGAATGTCAAACATCAATTTTAATCCTAAAATTTCTGCAATGTTAGAAATTCATTGAAAAAAGATGCTAAACGTACAAAACGAACCTAACATGCATTGACAAAAAGAGGAGAGATCACACAACTTTTGGGGAAGATTTTGTATTTTTATTCTTTTTGTATTTTGTCCAAAATCTACAAATTCTAAGCCCTAAGTTCAATTGTACATACTAATGCCACAATAAATGTCCATAGACTTGTTACACCATCGTCAATATAGAAACCATACTTCTAAAAAAAGCTTTTGCACAACTATTCATGAGAAGAGTTTTTTTATTGGCCCAAGGGAGTTAATGCATCAAAATTGCTCAATCATGTTTTAGCGATGTTTTGTATTTTTGGATTATTTTGTAGGTTTTTAAATTTTAATTTAGTTAATTTTGAGTATTATCTTTATTTGAATAAGGTGATAGAATTTTAAGGATTTATTTAGATGAAAATATTATGAAAAGAAAGCAGAGGAGATCACACAACTTTTGGGAAGATTTAGTATTTGTGATCTTCTTGTTTTTGTCTAAGCCTGCATACTCTAAGCCCTAAGTTCAGTTGTACATACTAATGACACAAGAAATGTCTATAACTAGTTACATCACCTCCCTCAATATAAAAACCATAATTAAAAAAAAAGGCTTTTGCACAACTATTTGCGAGAATAGTTTTTTATTGGTCCAAGGGAGTTGATGCATCAAAATTGCTCGATCACACTTTCCTAATGTTTTTTATTTTTGGATTATTTCTAGGATTTTTTAATTTAAATTTATTTAATTTTGAGTATTATCTTTATTCAAATTGATGATCGAATTTTTAAGATTTATCTAGATTTAAGTTTTAAATCAGTAAATTTTAAATGTAACCTATTTGTATAAATAGTTCAAATATTTATTATTTTTAATATTTAATATGAATGGAATGTTAATACCTTGTGGACATGTCCGTGATGTTTCTCCTATGTCTGACTATATATGAGGATATTGCCAAGATAGATGATTACAAAATCCTCTATGAATAACTTCAATATGCTATTTATGAGATGATTAGACAAAGTGAAAACACCAAATGACATTATAATCCACTCAAACAATCCCTATTTGAACTTGAATGCATTCTTGCGGGTGCCTTCTTTTTGGATTTGAAGTCGATGTGAACAAAATTTTAGATATTGCATAGTTAAATCAAGGCATGCTTCAGTTGGTCTAGCAAATCATCCACTCAAGGAAGTGGGTATTGATCTTTCACTATGATTTTATTTAGTGCTTGATAGTCCATGCACATCCACTTACCATCATCTTTATTTGGCAACATCACAATTGACAATCAAGAAGGTGAACTGTTCAACTCAATAACTCCTTGGTTGAGCAGCTTCTGGACTTGCTTCTTGATCTCTTTAGCCTTCATCATTGAGTTATTGTACATCCTGAAGTCGGGCAAAGCTGAATCCAAAAGAAGATTGATCTTGTGTTTCACAACTTATTGTGTGAGGAACCATCTTGTTCTTAGAAAGCTCCTGGTTGTCGATGTATTCTCATGTAATGGAAAAATGAAAGCTCATATCTGCATTTTTCCAGTCCTTTTGAATTCATCGAAGTGACCATGGGTGCAGCTGAGGAGTCATCTTGAGGCCCAGCCATCTGATCAAACTCGTTGAGATCATATTTGATTGGCTCATTGAGTTGATGATGACATTGACCACCTCTTGCTTCATTTCTATCCACAAAGTGAATACTCCGTCGCATTCTTGATGGATCGTGATCAAATTAGAGAGATGAATGAAGTGGAAATAAGGAAATATATCATCAACAATGAGCTTTCATCGAATTAGTAACAAATTCATTCTCTTATACATCAACTGGTATTAGAACAACATTTTTCTCCACGAATTTGTATTAGAGATATTCTTTTTTTTTTTCTCCGTCAGCATCTCTTTTGTAATGCCTTGAGTTTCATATTGATCAACAATTAAAACAATTGAGGAAGAATTGCTTACATATCTAAATGAATATTTGTTTATGCCATTGAATTGTCTTTCTCCATGCCATAAAATAGATAGTCATAAGCCTCCTAGAATACACATTGTGATAAAAACTTCTGAAGAAGAGGCTATAATTGAAGCCCCATTATTGTCAAAGGTGAGTAAATACTGACCTAGGTGTCTGGATGAGGTGAGCTGAGGCTCCAACACCTCAAACATTTAAAATGTGGGCATCATCATGAAGACATCTCCTAGATGAGTGCCTTGGTTTAAGTCAAATCATGCTTGGTGAGTTTTATTCAAAAAAAAAAAAAAAAATTCTATTGGTATGAATGCCCATAGAGCCTGGAATAGGTTTCTAGTTTCCATAAGCTTAGCTTCTTCACATTAATCAAACTATCTAAGGTAGGATATTAATATTTGCATGTCTTGACGAGGTGATATATTCTGCTGAAAGAAAGCTCAAGATCCTCATATTCTAAGTCTTTTTCTTATTAACCAGAACTTCTGCTGGTTTCTCACTATCTTGACTATACTATGTTCGTCCATGCTTTTTGATTCTGAAGCTGTTATTGTGGTTTACTTGCTCAACATCTACATCATTGCAACTATATGTTGTTGACATTGTGCAACTTAGTCAGGCAATTCATGACGGTTTTCTTCTTAAGATGTTGACATGTTAACCTCCCCTTGTTTTCTCTTTGGATTATTTAGGGTCAATAATGATTATCCAATCTTCTTGTGCGCTATCTTCATCAGCACCTTGATGTAGGATTCTATTCTAATATCTCACTTTGATGCCAAAAACCTGATCTTGGAGCCCATAACTTTAAGAAGGTTGCACATAATGAGGAGGGTAATCAAGATTCGATGTGGAGCAAGAAATCAAACTAGCAGTTTAAACAATGAAGGAATTAAGCTACGAGATAAACAGGAATACAACTCTTTTTTCAATTGCTTTTCTGTCTTGCTCTCCATTTCTATATGTTTCTCTCAAATTTATGACTTAAGGCACAATAGTATGTGCCTTGTCCCCCCCTCTCTTTCCCCTTAGGTTTTTTGTTCCAACTTCCCTACATAGAGAGAGCAGAAGCCGATTGCAATAAATGTCATACTAATTCGGGTATGGTGTTGATTACTGCACATTACAAGACACAAGAATTTTGATTCTATTTTGGGAAAGTTGAGGTTACAACGCCAAATATAAGTGCAAATAGGGTTACAAATGAACTAAGAATTCGGCAAGTCACTTGCTCATTTGAGCTCATTCATAATCATTCAATTGACTAAGCAAGTAAGTTTAAATATTTTTATAAATGCTCGGATGTTAAATGAACAAACTTGGATAACTTGTTGTTCAAATTAATCATGATTGATATTGTTTAAAGTTTGTTAATATGCTTGATTAATCATTAATGTGTGCATAAGTATATGTGAAATATATAAATATAGTTTATAACAAGAATATAAAGTTTGTTTATAAAAAAAGTTAAGAATTTAATTGTTATGATTTAAAATTAAAATATAGTAGTTTATAGTTTACACTTTACCCATTTTAATTCCTATGGTCCAATTCTAGCCTGGTTCCCATTTGGCATTTCCGCAACCTTAATTCCCAATCACACATTTAGTCTCACATTATAGGGGAAACTTACCCATAGATATATTCACACTCATTCATGCGTTTAGTCTCCATCATAGGGGAAACTTACCAGTGTACTATTTAAATGGAAAAAGGAACTCCTTTTGAGCTAGTAACTTATTTAGGTGGTGGGCATGTTAATGCTTCAGCTAAGCTCATGTTGTTGGGATATTTTATAGTTCCTAAGTTTGCTTTCAAAATGTTTAAAATTTAAATATTTTGATTTAAGTTTTGTTTTGTTTTTTTTTTTAAATTAAAATATTAAGGTTTAAAGCTTGGCTCATTAATAGAAGTCTGAGGGACCATAGGACAACCACAAAAATGGGACTACTATTGATTGAGTTTTTATGGACTTTACTAGGGGTGTCAATAAAAGACCCGGCCCGCCAACTCGATCCAAAAAATCTTTGTTTGTGTTGACCCGTTAAATAAATAGGTTGGGTTCGAGTGTGGAATTCTAACCCGTTTAATAAACAATTCGGATTCATGTTGACTTGCAAACCCACTTTTGAACTGAAAATTATAGTATTTTTTCCTTAAATTCTTTTGCTTGTGAGTATTATTTTTATATTTTTTATCAAATAATCTTTAAAAAAATAACCAAAATGGGTTAACATGTCAGGTTCGGGTCATTCAAGTTGTAAACTAGTTGGGTTTGGTCTGTCTTTTTTACATATTTATTAAACAGGCCAAGTGTGGGTTGACTTAATTCGGGTTAGGCCAATTTAGAGTCAGACTCGATCCCAACTTGTCAGCCCATTTTGATAGCTCTACTATTCACATGCCATGTGAGCTCTTCTATTAATTTGTGATCTCATTTTCTGAACTAGTCTAGGTCCCTAGTGAACAATGTGAGCAGCCATATATGGCTGCAATTTTCTTGTTGCATGTTTGAAGTTGATTGTCAAAATCTGCCATCCATTGGTCTAGATCTAATATCCCACTTCAATTTGTTTACTTCATTATGTTACCGACTTCTCTTAACTTCTTAATTAATTTCAATTTGGCTGTATGCTATTTCATGCCAAGTGGTGTAATGTTCAAGTTTTAACATTCTATACCGTTATGTGTCCATGGTCATCTAGATACCATAACACCTCTCCCATATTGTTATATCCGGTATATGGAATATTAGACCATTAAGCTGCTTCCTTGAGTGAAGGTACTACCGATTTTCTGTTCTCCTTTTTCTATTTTAGGCTTCGTTTGGGAGGGCTTTCTTTCTGCTTCTTAAAGCTGCTTTTTAATGCAAAATTAAAAAATTTTGTACTAAAAAGCAGCTTTAAGAAGCAAAAATAAAGCCTTCCCAAACGAAGCCTTAGACTACTTGCTCTTTGGCTACTACTTTACATGTGGTTTGGCTGTTTCTTTACAAATTATCCTAATTGCTTGGCAGTCAGCTGGAGCTGACGTTAATCAGGAATTCTTCCGGGGTTATGCAATAACTGCTGCTGCCCGTGAAGGCCATTGTAATATCCTAGGCATGCTTCTGAAAGCTGGAGTTTCCCAGTCAGCTTGTGAGGATGCATTATTGGAGGCTAGCCTATGTGGTGAGGCTGAAGCAGTGCAACTATTGATCCAGTCAGAAATGGTGAGGGCAGATGCTGCTGCGCATGCTCTTGTGACGGCATCCAGTAGAGGTTTTCTTGATGTGGTGGCTGTACTAGTTGAGGTGAACCTTTTTATTCATAGCTGATTTTCTGCAATTACTACCTCAGTAGCATTGCATCTTATTCTGAGCTTCATTTTACAGAATGGAGTAGACATAAATCGCTTCGACAGAGTCCTATTGCGGTCCATCAAGCCCACACTGCATGCAAATGTAGATTGTACTCCTTTAGTTGCTGCAATTGTCAGCAAACAAAATTCCATCGTCAAATATTTGTTAGAGGTGAAAACCTTAAGTCCTCCGCAGCTCTAGGCAATGGTTTCATCACAGCAACGTATACTTTCTTTATTTTTGTCAATTTTCTACCTTACCATGCCTGATTTGCATTTCAAAATTGAGAAGATCTTTTCTGTAATGAAGAGGAAGACTATTATGTTTTGATTTATCATCCCGCTCGTACTGCAATCTTAATGCTAATTGCAGTATCAGATACAAATAAAATAGAGGACTTTTCCCTGCCGCCTATGATTTTAAGACCATCATAGCCTTTAGTTCTATGCTTGTCCCTCTATGCATGGGGAAATTATTTTGTGCGGAGTTCGAACATAGATGGTCTTCCGGATTACTGCGTATCATATGCGTAAGTTCTGCCTACGCTCTGCATATTTACTGTGTATATATTGCATATTTGTAGATACGCAGTAAATAAGCAGCAAATAATTAGTTGTGAGGATGTGTTGCTTTTTTGCTATGTATCTACAAATACGCAGAGTGTAAGCAGAGTATAAACAGAGCGTCCACAAAGCCTACGCAGTGTATCCAGTAATCCAGAAGATTCTCTACATTTGGACTCCGCACAGAATTATTCCCCCTATGCATGTGAGCGCTAGTGTCGTAGCAATGCTAGGCAACGTCATCAGCAACCGTTTGCAGCTTTTGTACTGGTGTGACCTTCATGTGAGTTATTGTCGTCCTGATAAAATATTTTTGTCCTGAAGAGGAATGATCCTAAGTCGAACATATTCTGTATTGTCTATTGAACAATTTATGTCTTGTTGCTGTAGAAGATGGATAAAATACTTTACTGTGCTAGCCATGATTATATTCCTCAATAACTTCAATTTTGGTGCAGGCAGGTGCCAGTACAGCTTGTCTGATCCAGGTAAGCGCATGGTCCTGGGATCCTATTTCAGGCGAAGAGATGAGAGTAGGTGTCTGTTTGGGAGAGCCTTATAATGCATTATGGTGTGCTGTGGAGTTCTATGAAGCAAGTGGTGAGATTCTCAAATTATTACTTCACCATTGTCCCTTCCTGCTAGAAGATCCATATCTTGGTAGAACTGTACTTTGTCATGCAATACTTTGCCAGAATTCCAATGCAATAAAAGTGCTGCTTGATCTTGGTGCCAATTCCAAGTTCCCTCTGAGAACAAAACAAGGACATGAATCCTACCCCATTCATCTTGCAGCTAGAATTGGCAATGTCTTCATCTTAAAACAGTTAATTTCACATGGATGTGATGTTAATGCAAAAACTTCAGCTGGTGAAACTCCTTTGATGGTCTCTGCAAAAGCTGATCATGCCGAGTGTTTCTTAGAACTAGTTTTAGCAGGGGCAGACCTGGGATTGCTCAGCCATACAGGTTACAGCGCCATCGAACTGGCAGAGAGAAGCGCATTTTCGTCTTCCATCGTTGATATTCTTTCTCAGGCTTTATTTACTGGGGCAACCATCCATTCAAGTAATCCGAGAGTCTTTTCTCCATTGCATTTTATTGCCGGATGCGGTCGCGCAGAACCACTCCAGATGATTCTCAATTCTTCCACCGGAGAACTGAACAAACTCGACAGCTCTGGTCTCACGCCAGTCATGGTTGCTGCGATCGGCGGCCATTTAGAGTCTTTTCGTCTGCTAGTGATGGCTGGAGCTGATCTTACAGTAAGGTCAAGTGATGGCAATACCATTATGTCCATCCTTCAATACGAGAGTATAGCTAGCTCCAAGGACTATTTTGAGAAAGTCTTACTGGATGGAGTGTTAGGGAACGTGATATCAAACGCACCTTTTAAAGCTCTTCATTATGCAGCTAGGAAAGGGGATGCTTCATCAACAATTCAGCTACTGAAGATGGGATACAATGTGAATTCACTAGATGAGAATGGATATTCACCACTCATGCTTTCTGCCATGGAAGGCCATTCTGATCTCTGCAAGATTCTTCTTGTGCATGGAAGTGCAGACTCTGAGCTCATAAATGGCAGAAAAGAGACTGCTTTATCATTGGCAAGGTGCAGTAGCAGGTCAAACAAGGTAACCGAAGATTTACTACTGGATCATGTTGCCCGGTTTCACGTTCTCGTTGGTGAGGAGCTCTGTAAGCACACAAGAGAGGGAAGGGGAAATCCTCACATGAAAGCGGTTCGAATGCTGAAGTCTGGGGTGCTCAGCTGGGGCAAAACTAACCGAAGAAATGTGGCGTGTAAGGAGGCTGCAGCTGGGCCAAGCCTGAACTTTGTAAAGAATTGGAGAAAGGATTCTGGGCATAACAAAGCTGAGATCTTTAGGGTTGTGACAGTGAAAGGCAGAGAGGTTCATTTTGAGGCAAGTTGTGTTTCTGGAATGGAGATTTGGGTTCGGGGAATTAATCTCATTACAAAAGAGGCTAATTCCGGTGTGACTTGATGGACTAATGTGCTAGCCACAGAAGTGCAAGTTAAACAAATGAAGTCTATACTGAAATCATTCTTGTTGCGAAGCACACTGATCTCTGTTTTTTGATGGATGGACAGTTTACTTCGGATGGGAAGTGCTTTCCCATGAAATTTTCTGTTTGTTTGAACTTTTGGTGCTCTAGCTAGGTCGGAAAGCCATGTGAAAGTTTGTGTAGCCGTTTGAATTGCCTCTTTACATATGGAAACCAGTGGTTCTTATTTTTAGACCAAGAACTGAACTCTTATTACTAACCTGGATTGAGAACTATGCAACATGAGATGTTAACTGAACTTCTGTGATTTGTTTGGAGGCCTTCTATTTTTTTTTTCGTTGTTTATATTTTGTGAAGGTGAGAGAGAGATATATGGAGTGGAGAGTTTATTAAGTAGATTATTACGAATGGAGTCCGGATATAATTTTTCATCCGGATTCTAATCGCGTGAAGATATTGATTTTCTCTCTCTTATAGAGAGCTTGACTTTAAAATGAGATTTTTTATAATTTGTTTAATATGTACAATTTAATTTCTCATATTTTATTTTATTTTTATCTTTATTTATACAAAAAATTTATTATGAAAGTATTTTTTTATTTATAAAAAAATAACTAATCTAAAAAACTATTATTTTGCTGATTGATTTAGTTTTAAATATTATAAAATTAAAATTAATTATCATATATTTATATATATACTTAAATCATTATTATTTAATGAAATTTTAATCTTTTTTTTTTTATATATTTATCATGTTAGTAAATTCGCATAATTATTTATTAGTTTATCTTCCTAAATTAGAATTGATGATTAAAGTTCACTCTAAAATTAGCTCAAATCTAGAGATACTTGTGGTGAGAGCTTTCTCATGGCACTAATGAGGATTCTAATCAATAATAGGTCCCATTGTGGCTTTAGATTTGCCATATTCGGGAGTTTTTCCATAAGTGGAGATATCGGTGGCTCTTTTCTATTTGTTCCTCCTTGATAATGGTAAGATAAGCCTAAACCTTAAAATTTCACCTTATCTATTTCATTTCACCTTATCTATTTCTATATGCTTCATAAATATAAATAAAGACTTTGAACTTCAACTAAGACTCGAAAGGTCTTTAGACAAGCAATTATCATGTATCAATTTTAATATGAGGGCTTAAGGTTAAGGATTTTAGACATTCAACCATATGTTATTATCTTTATGATATTTTAATATAATTATTATTGACATTTGTATGCATTCCACCATCGAGTGAGACAAGGATAGCAATCGACCAATACAACATTGATTGATTGATGCGACGAAGAATATTGTAGGTTCGAAACACCTTGACGTTACATAAATTAACTCAAACATTGTCCGCTTTATACAAACAAACCGCACTAGCATTTTTCATGACGTGGATTAATTTACCCAAGGTTATTTGTAGTTGCATTAGCACTAAAAATATCTTTTTAATATTTTTTACATTAAATAACCATCTCACCCACCACCCCTCCTCTTATTCTTTTTGCTTGGTCGGGAATGAGAGGAAGGAGAAGAAGAAGAGAAGGGGTGAGGGAGAGGTGAGAGCAACGATAGGGGAAGCTCTTTGAGATTTTTCGTTCGTTGTTCTTGTTATGAAAGTTGTTTTGCTCGTTTTAAGTAACTATGCTCTTACTATAGTTTTCGATGGTTTTGATTTCTAAGAATTTTATCTCTCATGAATATGAAAAAAATGCATTTCATTCTGATTTACTGCACTTTCACTGTATAACGTTTTGTATATGATAGATATGAATTGTATGAGTCTTTTTTATTATAATATTGTTGAATTTTACCAAGTAAATTGGGAGTTATGATTTTCTAAAATTAGTGCAAATATAAAAATTGTGTAGGTTTTCTTAAATTTTATATATTAGTGTATTTCATATATAATATTCACTCACATTGCATAGAAAAAATGATAAGATTAGCATAAAATAAATATGTCATTTGCATTTAAGCAAAAAAGACTAGCTATTAATATTATAATTAATACGGGTTGACTCTTAAAACATAATATCCTGTACATGTGGATGTGTCGATGAGCTTTCTTTTAAATAAAAAGTTTGTAGTGTAATCCAAGTTGTAACCTGTAACCAATTGATCGATTTCACCAATGAGCAAAGGGTGGCAACACTTAATAATTTATTAAAAGCCACATGTGAATTGACTTAAAATAATGAATAATATGATAAGAAAAAGATTATTGTCCAACTGGTCAACAGTTGAGTTGGAAGAATAAAAACACCACATTAAAGTTTAATGTTCTCCCTTATAATTCATAATCATATTTATGATTGTATTTACATGATAATGTATGAATTGATTGATAAATAAAATTAAAATAGAACTGATAAAACCCACATTGATATTAATACAATATAACATAATATGACAAGGATATTGATAGACATATTGATGTAGTGTATTGATAAGTGCATTGACGTAGCATACTGACATGGCACGTTGATTGATATTCTTTTATCAAATTTTATAATTGATAGACCTCTTTTTACATTACTAATCATATTAATTTTACTATTGATTGATATCAGTTTTATAGAGTGCATTTTTCTTATACTAATAGACTATTTATTATTGATTGATATTAATTGGAACTGGAGCATACATGTTAATTTTTTTTTCTTACATTGAAGACAATGATATGTTTTGGTTACTAGCTAGGCTATATGCTTGTTACATGATTTTCTATGATTACGAGTAAAAATAAAAAGCATGTAGAGTAAGATTAGGTAGTGATGATAGTTCATTTTTTTTAGCTCTTGCATTTTATATATATTCTTTTGAGGCTTGTTATGACAATTATATTTATTATTTTGAGACTTTGGACTTTAGTCTGGATATAAATATTAACTATAGTAATATAATTATATGTTATGCTACTTTTTTCCAGAATGCAATTAGTCAACTATGATTATCAATGATACGATTGTTAATAAATTGAAAAGAAAAAGGATAATAAATAAGAAAAGAAATGGAATTATTCTATTTTAAATCTTAGGGTATAATTATATTATTTTAATGATTAATAACAAAGATACATTCACTAATTATAATAGAAAAATCCTAAGTACTCGAGATAGAATGTGGTGAAAAAAGAGCAAATACCTTATTTTCAACTATTCATATATATACACTTGTTAAATTAAGTTATATATGGATATTCGAAGTGAGATGTCTTTAATATATAATAGATTGTTACTGGGAAGAAAATCATTGAAAGATGAATTTTTTAAGCATGTTGCATATTTTATTCACATCACAATCCAACTACCTTCATTTTTATCAAATGAGATGTTTAAGTACCCTTGCTCAAAGCACAAAAATTAAGCATACCTTACACCCGATGAGGTTAAATTTGACTTATATCGTAGAGGATTTATGTCAGTGTATTGGTTTCATACCATATATGAAGACTATGAGCCACCTTCAAACTCTCAATGTTGTCTTTCCAGAACTTCAAGAACAATAGAGGATGATCAAAATACAAAGACATATGAAGAAATAAATTTTGATGCAACATGTCCGAAATTTAGAGAATATATAGAGGGGTCACCCAACATCCTTGCACATAAATTCTATGAATTACTACGAATTGCTTAATAAATTATTTGGGATCGATGCACAATTCATTACGAATTATCAATTGTAGTTCAAATGCTCATTATTAAAAGTGAATACAATATTCCTCTAGAGTGCTTCAATGAGTTCAGATGTCTTTTTAAGGAAACTAATAATGAGAATAATTTAATTCTCACATATTTGTATATGACTAAAATGTTAGCATCCAAATTGGGGTTGACAGCTATAAAAAGTTATTATTGTAACAACGATTATATATTGTATTATAAGTACGCTTTGATAGAAGTTGCATGTTGTAACTGCAATGCACTTCGATACTAAAAAAAATCTGGGAAACAACAAAAATAGAAGATTGTGTCATATTCCTGATTGTTTTATTTGTCCATCATTTCAAGACTTCAACAGCTCTATGCATCGATGAGCTCTGCTGGTCACATAAGATGGTATAAAGAGAATTTTTCTTAAGAGAATGTTCTTACCCATCCATTAAATGTAGACGCACTTCAATTGTATATATTCTTCATTCACTATAGAATCACACGACATAAGATTTGAATTATGTACGGATGGATTCACTCCTTACAATCCGCCAGCTTCACCATACTCTTACTAGCCTGTTATAGTAACACATTACAATCTTCCACCTGAGTTGTGCATGACTACCTCATACATATTTCTGACGCTTATTATACCCATAGTCGGAGCTGATGTCATATAAGAAACTACAATAGAAGAAGAAGGTTCAAAAGCATGGGGAGAGTGAAGAAACTGAGGTCGATTACGTGTACTCCATGTATTATAAAATGTGATGAACTTAATGCTAAACTTGACAAACAAATTCCTAGCATGTTTTTATCTTATGTTTGTTATATATTTTTCTTTAATGAATGTTTTTTTAGCTTAGAATGTTAGTTTTTATTTATATTAGCTTTTTATAATATTGTTGCAAACTGGAACATTCGTGGCGGTAGAGAGAAATATAGTTTAGTTTCCTAGTTTTGAACGATGATTTAACACACATACATATAAAGAGAGAGGGAATGCAGTATTCATAAGTGACATCAGAGTTTTTACGTGAAAATTCCTAAAAGATGGGAAAAATGAAGGGGCCTTACTTAGTGAACTTTTATTAGGTCCGGTGAACGTATGTAGAGCTACGTTCGGCCGACACTGAGATCGCGCCACGTAACAGGCACAAAACGAGAAATACCGAGCAATACCAACAATAACGAGAAATATAATTATGTGAAGACAAAATACCGAGCAATACCGAGTAATACCGAGTAATACCAAAAAATACTGAGTTTTTTCTAGAAAAACTCAGTATTACTTGATATTGATCTTCACAGAGCGGTATTTCTCGTTATTGCCAAGCAATACCTAACAATACCGAGTAAATACAGAGTAACTCAGTGATGACCGGAGCTACGTCCGGTGAGAGGACCTAATAAAAGAATCCATTGGTGCTCTGTGTCTCATAAATTTAAGGTGTTATGAATTATGATGTAAATATTTTTTATATCCCCCTAAATATGGCCGCCTCTTTAAAGTGGTATGTATGTAAATCCCCTAAATGTATATTTACGGTTTAAGCACCCACACGAAAGACAGATAAAGCATATCATCTCATCTGCCCGCTGCAACTCTATATGGCCGCCTCTTTTCTTTCGTCACTTACCTTCCGCTTCGCCCTGCTCTCAAATCTTTACTTCGTTAAAAGGCGAGGAGGCGCTTGCTGCATAAACTATATTCGATCTTGTCGGCCATCCTTTAAAATTCGCAACATTTCCTTATTTCCCCAATCTAGACCTCAGCGGCTTTGTTTTTCTTCATCTGCCATTGCACAAGCGGGTTCCAGCCGCTCCCTGGATCGAGAGGAATTGGTTGTTCTTGGCATTGAGACGAGCTGCGATGATACAGCGGCAGCCGTTGTAAGTAATCGTCGAGGGTTTTATGTGATTTTTTTTTTTTCATTTGATCATGTTTCGTCTGATGCGTTATTGGGCTTGAAATAGTTGGTTTTCTGGCACTTTTATGCCTTTTCGATTGTTTTTTTTTTTTTTTATTTGGTCTTAGTTCTTCAATTTATGGTATAATTTTAGGTTAGGGGCAATGGGGAAATACTCGGTCAGATTGTATCTTCCCAAGTAAGTTTTCATCTTGTTTATCGCTATTTAAATGAAGTTTTTTCTTGTAAGGGAATTGCTGGAAACTCTAATTACGGTTGATCTGTTGTTTTACTTATTATCCTGTAACAAGTCATTTTTTCATCAATATTTAACCAGCTGGTATGTTGCACACACTTGTCACGATTATTGCTATACTGAACACAAAATGACATTTTGCTTGCAAAAGTAGAAGATTACATTTACCGTGTTATTCTTCCCAAGGCAACATAATATTTTGCATTGCTCATATCATAGTATTGTTCAATTATGATTTCATTTTGTCACCGCTCTATCACATTGGATCTCATTATACTTGTTAGATAATAGGGCTGACATCAAGTTGAATTTAAGTGAGTCGGACTGGCCATGAACACAATAGAAACATGGCTAGGCCTGGAGCTCGACTTAAAATCGAAATGCATTTCAAGTCAAGTCAAGTTGACCAAAATTATTTGATTTTGATTCAAATCAACATGAGTTCGATTTGTCTCAAATTAATCATGTTTGAATTGAAAACAAATTAAAGGTGTGAAAGCATAGGAGAAAATGTTCAAACCTTTGCCCTATGCGAGTTTGATTAAATTGTAACAACTTAGTTATCTAATGAAAGCACAAATCTACTTCAAAATTTAATATAATTTATATATTTGTAGAATAACTCAAATCACATTTCAAGCGATCTATGTATGACTCAAAATGTAATTGAAAAGGACTCAAGGCGTGATAGTAACTCATGACTGGACTTGGAATTAATCAAGTCGATTTTGAATTGACTCAAAACTCTCAATTGAGTTTAGGAAAAATTGCATCCCTATAAATCAACAAGTGTGTGAATTCTTCCTTACTTTATTTTCATGTTTTTCATGTTGGAGGGCTCCGGTAAAGTTGAATTGGTGCTGTAAACTTTTTTGTTGACTCGTAATTTTTCTGAATTTTCAAAAATCCTGGCAAAGTTTTTTGCATCATTACATACCCTAGCAGATTTTGGATACATGAGCATTGAGCAATCATGTCATTGATTTGGCTCTCTTGTTAATACATTCACCGTCACATTTATATGCATCTAGAGTTACTGGAAAGCCATCCAATTATAGTTGTGGCAAGGAGTCCTATGTGTTGATGAAGACAAGATAGGTATAATTGAAAATCAACCATTTTTGAACAAGGAAGCCGGGTGCTGCATATTGGAGACAAATGTTTTTAAGCGCTATTATTTTCGAAATCCTTCCACTGGATTTGTACTTTTGCTTTGTTGTTCCACCCTTGCTATTGCAATTGCTGTTTCTTACTGCTGATGTCAATTATTATGTTATTCTGCTTATGTGAAATTAAAAGTGGTTGAAAATGCCATTTCATAGCTATGCTGACATGTAATGGGCCTTATTTTGTTGGCTCTAGCTTATTAGAATTAAGAGAGCTTCCAACATGTCATAATATAGACATGAGAGTATCGTTTTCACTTTTTATTTTGTCCTTTTTCACTGCTAAATGCTTCTTAAATTGTTAGCTTATGTTTAAGTGTAGAATGGAAAAATATGCTTTTTCCATTTTAAATTATTCCTAACTAATTAGCTTATAGTTATGTAGAAAGGAAAAAATATTCCGCATGACGTCATGCCAATTTTTATCAAATCTACTCAGAACACAATATTCAGCAGGCAGATCTTCTTTCCCGTTATGGAGGTGTCGCTCCCAAAATGGCAGAAGAAGCACACTCACTTGTTATTGACCAGGTTTCAATTTTGTTTACTACAAATGACATTTATTTTTCTCTTCAGTTCATCTTTGAGATTTTGTCTCAGCGACTTGTTATGCCTATTTTTTGCAGGTTGTTCAGCAGGCCCTAGATGCTTCAAACTTGACAGGAGAAGATCTCTCTGCTGTAGCTGTTACTATTGGGCCAGGTCTAAGTCTTTGTTTGCGTGGTAAACATCAGAGATTTCTATGAATGTCCTTCAATAATTAGTTAGCCCTTTTATTGGTATGTCAGAATTTTATAACTTGAAACCCACAGGAAACATATTAATGGATATAATGAGAATATTTCTGAAAGAGAAAGTTAGAAGAGAATTCTATGGAAAAATAAAAAAGTTTCAAAAGCATGCTATTGCTAAATACATTTCAACTTCAAAGAAATTCTCATCTTGGTGCTTTAGTAAGCATATAAATTTTTATTGATATCATCTGTCACATATTTGTAAGTTGCTTGGGGAAGTAGTACATACCTTATTTTGTGAAGCAAGTGTTTGTTGGATAACTTAGTTTTTTTGTACAAATATATATTGATGTCAAACATTTTTTTGTTTGGAAGCATACCTTGTGATCCTTAAATTACTAAGTCTTCAGAACAACAGAGTGCTTTGGAAAAATGAAGAACTACAACGTTCTCATGTACTAGAATTGTAGAATTTTTCTTTGTGATAAAAGCTACCTAGCTGGTCACAGCGCTCTTTTTTTTCCAGTTCTCTTCAGCCACATATTTCTGTCCCTCATTTTAAAATAAATTGTAATTGGTTAATGCTTTTCGTCATACTTCTATATAGTTGGTGTTACTAAGGCTCGGAGAGTTGCTGGAAGGTTTAATTTACCTATCATTGGTGTTCATCACATGGAAGCTCATGCTCTTGTTGCTAGGTTTGAAAAAATCTTCTCAAATCTTGTCCTTTATTACTTCAACCTGCTGTGTTCTTTGATTGCTAACATTCTGATGTGCAATTTTTTATTGCTAGAATTTCTCGTTATATTTTGTTTCTTCTGCCTTTACCATGATGTGTGCATAGAATCAAATGAACAATTGCATATACTCATGATGTCCATGTGCATGTTATACTGTGCTATATATTATTTACTTGTAATAATTCTGGAAATGTCATCAAGGATTCTATTGCTCATGCATCTCTCTTGATGGAGAAAAATGTTTGCAAATTCTCTTCAGCATCATGGTTAAGGTTGTGTTAGAATTACTGAAGATATCTGCTTAGTAAGTTGTAACTCAGGTGCTAAGATAAAATGGTATTGAAAGAGGTGCATGCGGTTACTAGATAACTTTTATCTGATCACGGACTTTATCTTTTTTGGTGATATGAATACCCTTTATGAATCATTGCCATCTGTTAGTACGAGTTAAATATGATTTGTTTGCTTATTCTAACTTGTATCGATTCAGGTTGGTTGATAGCGACCTGCAATTTCCATTCTTAGCCCTCCTTATTTCTGGTAAGTTAACTTGGGTGCCATGTTGCACCAATGACCTCAAAATTTCACGTTTGAATGGCTTGAAAGAAAATAACCAATTCGATTATTGACGCAAATATCTTGTATGCTATATGAAGATGCTGCAAATTGTTTGACCATTGTATTGTATAGTTCGATATGATATAGTGATGTCATATTTTATTTAACTATTCTGTATATGCATATTTTTGGTTCTATCCGCATGCATAAATAATATGCATGTTTTATTTCATCTACTTATATGAGGGTTTATTGGTTGTTACGAGGCTTCTATTGCTTATTTGTTCACCTGTGTAGGCTTTTGTTTTATTTGTAGTCCTTTTAATTGCAAATCTTGTTTTTGTCATTTCCTTGCTATTCAAGGTTTTATTGATTATATGTAAAGCTTACTGTAAATTAAACTAAAAGGTAATGATTCGGAAATGGGTTCTGTTTTCTTGAACTTATGATGCTTTTCACAGCTGTAGTTGGAGAGATGACAATGTCGCTCTTCTGTATCTCATTTATTGGATCAAGCTACACCAAATATAGATTTTCCTTTTTCTTTTAACATCTGCAGTCTAACTTGGCATGGATAATCTAAATTTTTTGCATTTCCTCTTCGGCCATTTTGTTTCCTCATCTCTTATGGCTTGTAGAGGCGCGGGTTGCTAATTTTCTTACTTGATCGAGGGGATAGAAAAAATGTTTGTTTTGAAGATGGAAACCAATTGGTGTAGTGATAATTAATTTTACCCACTAGAAATTTCTACAATCGTCATTCAGTAAGGTTTTCTATGCTGGCCATATGTGGGAATAATCGGTTAACAAAACATGAATGTTTGTAATATATTATGTTTATAATTTAAGCTTGCCTCTATTTTTGATCAAAAGGTTTGGACTAAGCCCTTTTCATTAAGGGGTTGTTTGGTTGGATTATTTTAGGGTGTAAAGTATTCAAAATGTAGGAGTTTTATAAATTTTGGTGTTTAGTTGAAACATAAAATGATGCAAAGTAAAGTATAGTAAATGTAATGTAAAGTGAAATATTTCATTTTGAGTGTAAACTAAACTCCTCTGATTTTGAGTGAAAATCGTTTGCACCCCAAACTTGCTTGACCGCCACCTGCTGCTGGCCGCCTTTCTCCTCTGCCCGCATCCGGCCACCACCGCCTCCCCCCGTTGCCCTTCGGTTACCGCTAATACGGTCCCGCCGCCGCCGCTGGCCACCACCGCCGTCGTCGGCCAATGCAAGTCGAGCTTCAAAGCTCTGCCATTTGATCGGGTCAACCTCTGATCCTTAAGTCCCCAACAAGTCATGCCCGCCAGAAGCTTCCATCCCACTTTTTCTCCCTTCTAGTAGCATGGGACTCTCACCATCCACCTGCCCCTTGTTCAACCTGTGCATGTTCTTATGCATTCCTCTTCCCATCTTAGATGGAGAGCACACTTCTCCTTCCTTTTGTGAGCCACCTGAACTATATTTGCCCTTTGAGCCATCGCTCCCACCCTTCTTTCGATCAACAACCTCCACACCACCCAAAACACCACCACCACTAGCTTTTCCCAACCTGCTCGCCACCCACACATGCACTTTCCCCACCACCTTGCTTGAAGCGAGGGACCGTTGCGCCCCCCCCCCTCTCATGCTTAGAGCTTCTCTTAGTAGAGACAATCAAGAGAGAGAAAGAGGGAAAGAAATGAAGTGCTTTCCTAACCTTGCTTTGATACAATGTAGAAAAGTAGAAAAAAAAAATACTTTGAATTTTTGTTGCTTGAATCCATAGTAAGTGTGGAAGTATTTATAGACTTCTTTTAAATGCTTACAATGAAAAATAAATTTGAGCTATTTATAAAAAAGGGGAAAAAGTTCAAAGAGGGGTGGACAGCTAGAATTTGAATAGGAGGCATATGAATTATAATCTAAGGATCATAAGATGATCGATTCAATAGTTAACACCCTTAATTCATGTGCTCAACTGCTCAAGGATTTCTATTGGGTGACTTGTGGGCTCCACGAACCTCCAATAAAAACTATTCAAACTAATCGAGAAAACTATAAGCAATAAACACGGAAGCCTACTCGTAAGTCTTTGATAAATTATATTGGTCATTTCATAGGGTTTTTATTCTCAATAATATTTAAAAAAAGGAAAAAGGAGTATAAATATACAATGTTTTTAAAACTGGACCCGACCAACCGATTTGATCGTGAATCGATTCAGTTGCCAATCAGGTCAAGTTGGAAAACTGGATTTGTACAATACCGGTGTAAACCGGTTTGAATCGTCGGTTCAACTGATAAATCGTCGAACTGGTTCCAATTTTGCTGAACCGGCCAGTTCAATAAATTTTATTTTTTATTTAAATAAAATTTTATTATTAAATTTTTTTATTGTTATATATTTTAAAGTAAATATATACTTATGCAATATAAATTTACTAGAATCATAAATTGCTAGCTTGCCACATCATACAACTTTTTAGTTACTTGTTTGTAGTTTTTTTGTTTTGTTTTTTTTTGCTTTACACTATATAAGAGAGCAATTCATTTAAAAATCCCCTATGATGGGGACTAAGAACTATGTGAGAACTTCTGCATCAGTTAAACTATCAATTGCTTGGGATGCAAATTTGAGGGTTGAGAATGCATACATTTTATTAAAGTTAGCAACATAAATTTTTTATATTATAAAATTATATTTTATATTAAATTTATATATTATTCTCATTAAAAATTATATTTATATTTTATACATTTTATTATTAAACTTTTTAAAATTTTAAGAAACCCTGTATTTATTATTGGATAAATTTATATTTGTAATACACATGTACTTATATCACATTTGATGAGTCAATCGAGCTTCTTAATATAGTTTTATTGACTTATGAGCTTTGAATGGAGTCTATTCATGAGCTTTAATCAAAGTAGTTATGTATTCTTCATTAAAATTTTAATTACTATATAATTTATATTGTATTCAAATAATTTAAATATTTATTATGTCATCTGATTCTACTCCAATTTGATCCCGGTTGAACCATTGAAATAGAAATCTCTCCTTCTACTGATTTGTTGTCAAATACGATTTTCACAACCTTGCAAATAGGTACATTTATGTTTACTTTATTTGGCATTGTAGTGTTTTGCTATGCTGTAAGAAATTAAGTACTTGCTATTCTTGTAGAGATGGGCGATTTTCTTTGTAATTTATTATTCATGGCTGTGAAGCCATGGAGGTACTGCATGTTATGTGTAAGATTTCGTTCTATATATTTCCCCGAAAAATAAAAATTATGATAAGACTTTGAAAAGCACCGTAAAGCAGTAGTTTCCCAAAGAAAGCCTTATTCATCGATATATCTTAAAGGAACAATTATATTTTGCTATTGTTAATATAGAGTGGTTGATTTTGCATCATTTATCAATGTGAATCACGTCAACTGCCTCGTTTTATTAGTAATAGGTGATTTGGCCTGTAACATTAATCCAAAATTAATAAATATTGAAAGATGAATTTTCATCTGACACTGATTCTGTTTATCTTATGGTACTGATGTAAAAATGTAAATTTCATTTTAGCATGATTTGTTTGGACTAATCTTGCATTGATTTTTTGAAACAAAATTTGCTATTTGAGCATCTTTTATCTGCTCAGGAGGACACAATCTCCTCATCCTGGCACGTGACGTTGGTCATTATGTTCAACTTGGGACAACAATAGATGATGCTATTGGCGAGGCATATGATAAAACAGCAAGATGGCTTGGCCTAAATATAAGTAAAGGTGGTGGGCCGGCACTTGAAGAACTTGCACGTGAAGGTGATTCAGATTCTGTGAAATTTAAAGTATGCTTCTTCCGCTGAAGTTCATTGAATTATTTATGCTTTCATTTTTATGACTCGTGATTTTGTTTAACAGCTTGCCCTTCGTGCTAAATTTAATACTCTTTGTTTTTGAAATTTTCTAGATTCCAATGAGGCAATATAAGGATTGCAATTTTTCATATGCTGGCCTTAAAACTCAGGTCAGATTGGCTATTGAATCTAGAAGTGCGTAAGTTTCTTCAAACTTCTCTTAGTATGGGTACTAGTGAGTTGCTTGAAATGCGGCATCTTTTATGCAACATATTTTGGAGGCACTAAAGAATTGCACACAATTGCTCTATGCTGATTAGGCTAAGTGGTCAACTGTTTTAGATATAATTATGTCTAATGAGCATATATAGTGGTGGTTAATGTAACAATTTAGATTTGTTTTTTTATATAAATTATTGGTTTCTTTTTGTTGCAATGTACTGCAGGAGCCAACTAACTAGTTTTTTTTTTTGGTAGTGGTTGGAATAACAGTAGGTATGCACAACTAGGGCCAAGTGGTTGTCTCATTAAGCAGATGTTTGGTTGGGGGATTATTATGGATTAAAATTAACCACTATTCATAGTTTGGTTACAAGATTTCAGGTAATTTGCATTTGAATACTTGGGTTCGTAGAAGCACTTCAAATATGTCGATACAATTTGAGTTCCTTTGGTCCCCAAATTCACTTTAACTTTCATCATCGCCTCTAGGCCCCCTACCATATAATTGTCAATTAGTCGAAGGATTGACAAGATGGTATCATTTTAAAAAGTAATAATAAGTTTTCCAAATGAGAAAGACAACTTTCTCTCTACACTGTAGATTCCAATCTCAGGTCTTTAATCCATGTTCTTTCATAATGATTCGGTTGATGATAGGCACAATGTTCTCTCTCTCTCTCTCTCTCTCTCTCTCTCTCTCTCTCTCTCTCTCTCTCTCTCCACTTAAACCCTCTTCTAAAACTAGCGGGCAAACACCCCTACAACTCTTTCTCCCTAATTTGAGTGGTGTTGCAAGATTGATTCTTCAAAACTTTGAGTTTGCAAAACATGAAAGATTAATGGCTCAATGTAATAATTGTTTTGAGATTGCTATAGAAACATGAACATGGCGAAATAAGTATTTTATTGAAGAAGATAAAGTAATAGATAATAATGTGGATCTTCTCCATCCTGGAAACTGGAGCAGTAGACACTGGCACCGGTATATTTCTTGCAAATATTTTATTTTTGCTTAACATTTGTGGTCTTAAGTATTCATGAAATGGCTGATGATAACCTAGGAGCCTGACTTGCGCTGCCTGGTTTGTCACAACCAATTAAAGAGGTTTGTGTTCCTTAACAGAAGTCAACTCGAATGGATCCAAATTAGGTTTTATTCTGTTTTCTTTAGTAACGGTCAAGTCACGGACTGTGCCAACTCCTTTGGTAAAAGTAGGATCAAGGTTGGCATCTCTCTTAATTTCTATTATATACATAACCAGTTACATTTTTAGAATTTTTTTTTGGGTGGAAGATAAGGATTTAAGCAAAATTGGGGCACGCCCACGCCCTTTTTAAATTTTCCTACTACATTATTGAAGCTTACTTAATTTTGTTTTTTGGAAATTTTCTTGAGTCTATCTAATTTTAATATTTCTTTTGAATTTACTTTAATCATTTTTTTGATATTTGATTTTTTTTTTCCTCGTATGTATATTATTTTAAGAATGACTTAGAAGTATATTATTTTAAGATTAGGCGTCAGTTTTTACTTATTGATTTGGCGTTCAATGTCCGATGAGAGTTCGGTAGCACTGATAAAACTAGGCTGCGCTTTGTCAACTGTGTATATATTCACCTCAAAATGACATTTATGCTTGTTGCACATCAAATTACTAGTAGATTGAATTGAGAAATAGTGAAATTTCACCCCATGATGCAATCAAATTAGTCATATTAATGTACTCGTGTGATCACGCTGGTGTACCTTTATGGTCATGCATCTACTGACCACCATTAAGTTAAGGATGTGCATGGGCATTTGTTGATTAATTATAATTAATTTAAAATTAATTATAATTAGATAATTAATTAATATAATAATTAAATAATTATTAAATATAATTTATAAAAATTATAAAATAAAATAAATAATAATAATTGAAAAAAGAAATCCCTGGATCGGTGGATTGAAGGGATTTGGCCGAGAAGCTTATGAAGGAGAGAGAATCACCTTCACAGATAGTGACCTTCCGTCGTCTCCTCCGATCAAAATGTCATAACTCCGATCCAACGGGATGGGAATGTCGTCGAAGGAGCTAGGCCGAGCAGCCACAAGGAGCTGGAGAAGCACCGGTTGGGGAGGAAGTTAACCCCGCAGCCCACGAGCTCCTGTTGTTGGTTCCGAACAAAATGTGGTAACTTCCGGTTCGGCAGGAGGAGACGACGTCGACGGAGGGAGCAAAGTCGGAAAGCCACGAGTGAGCCGGAGAAACCACGTGAAATGGAGATCGTTAGCTTCACAGTCAGCGAGCTACCATCGTCACTTCCGATCGGGTAGAAGGGAAAGTCGTCGAATGAGCTGAGTCGGACGTCCACGGAGGAGCTGAAGACGCGACGAGAGGGAAAAACTTTCCTTCTCAGTCGATGAGATCCTATTGTTGCTTCCGATTAAATGTCGAAACTTCCGATCCAACAGGAAATGCCGTCGTAGGAGCGGAGTCGGATAGTCAGGATGGAGACGAAGAGCGAGAGAGAGAGGGATCCTGGGAAAATGAGAGAGTTAGAGCAGTTAACGCGATATAGAGGGACATCCGGTCGTGCGAGGTCGTGCGGAGAAAAGACGTGGATGTGGCAGCGACGTGCAAACAACGTGCGCGGGATGAGGGCAGGTATACGACACTCTTCTCTTCTTTTTTTAATATTACAGGTCAACAATAGAGAAGCATATTGGGTTAGTCCACTATGCTAAAAAGATATGTTAGGGCTACGAGGCATTACATTGAAAAAATCCTTTGACACTAAAAAAGGTGTGCATGGGTCGTGTGCGAAATAACTACGTGAAAATTAAAAGGATAAAGTGGGCACTTGCAAAGATTTTCAAACAACCCGGGTTGCCCACAAGGTCCACTTGCTTGTTGCACTTTAGCTTTCCATTCGCCAATTTCCTTAACCATAGTCAAGGGATCACCTTTCAAACTGTCGCACTTCTTTTCGCCTACAGGAACTTATTCACTCTCATAGATGGCTTCACTAGCAATAGGAGAAATAGAAGGATATGTCACTTCTAGAGCTTCATCAACATTCTCCGTTATAGGAGTTTTAACTGGGTCAGAAGAAACATTTACTTCTGTCGGAGTTGTAATTGAATCAACCAAATCTCTCTCTGCATTATTTGCAGTCACGCATTTTCTCCTTATCAACCAATTCATCTTCTTCTTCATGTTCTTCCTTGATCACCTTATATTTCTCTTTAATTTGCACAGTGAGTGGGAAATTGAAAGCTTCATTGGTCTCCATCCATTTGTCAACTCTATCCACTATCTCTCTGTCTCTTAGTGCCTTCTTTCTTTCCTTTGATGAAGGGGGTTTTGTATAAAACGGTGGGTTAGTCCTACCTCGCTCTAAGTTATCGAATCGTTCGATTGTTTGACGGTGGAGGTCGGCTAAGTCCGCTTGATTCTCCTTGAGATGTTGACTAATGACGCTCATTTGACCTAACACCCAGTCTAAAGTCCTTCCAAGTTGATCCGAGTCCATGCTCTGAAACCAAACTGATGTAGAACGGGGAGGAGGCTTTGCTAGGGAGAGGATCTCTTCTCCAAAATCTGAAGGAAATTCTGACTTCTTTGCCCAAAACCTGAGAAGAATATCAGATTTTTAAAGTAACAAGAGGAATTAGAGGGAGAAGTCTTGAGGCTTTAATTCCCTTGAAGTTTTCCAGCGGGAGAGAGAGAGGCAACCCAAGGTGGGGTCTTGGGACAAGTTCGGTCAACAGCAGGTTGTAAGTCCCCAAATCCCTCCAATGAGAACACTAAAATCTAGATAGATTTTTTTCTTTTTTTTTTAGCAGAAATTCAGTGGAGAGCGGCGGGATGTAGAGAAGAATTGGGGAATTATTTCCTTATCCCCCTCTTAGCTTTGGGAAGTGATTAATGCTTGAGCGGGAATTCCCTGGTTGCAGCCTTAGAAGGCAGAATATTCTACGTTAGGTGGAATTTGGAGAGTGATTTGTGGGGGAAAATTATTGTACAGGTATTGGAGAAGTTGGCCAGGAAGGGGAAGAAAGAGTGAAAGGAATTTCAAATCAGAATAATGAGTTTGGCAAGATTTAATGAGGGGATGCTTAGGCAACATAATTTGGAATGTGAGGGTGACGGGAATATGGGGGAGAATTTATTTCCAAAATATAATTTCAGGTTTTAGGAAATAAATTAGAGCTTGGGCCTTGAACAATTTCGATTAGAAGCAGATTTAGGGGTTTTGAAATATTTACAAATGAGAGACTTAGCTTAAGGAAATAAATCTAAATCCAAGCCAATGAAGGGGGCCGGCGGCATTAATGGGCAAGAGGGAATTTGGGGTGAGGTGTCATGCTTGCATAAATGTAAATTTAGGAATTAGGAAAGTGAGACAATAAATCATATTTGAATTTAAATTTCAAATTGATTTCAATTAAGCACTTTCTAAAAATAGGTGAACTAAATTAGGAAATAAATTTTGAATTTCAAATTTAGATAATTTGAATTTCAAACTAAGTCCTAATATCATGCACCCCAAATTAAGAAATCCACGGAGAGAGGAGAAAGGATGAGGCCGGCGGCAAGGGAGCTAGGTCTAATTTAATTTGGAGAGATTAATGACTCATCTCCTTGCAATTCAAATTTGAAGTTTGAATTGGAGAGTTAAAACCTTCCAAATATGGATCAAACCCGATTAGGAAAGATTTCAAAATCCAAAATTGTCATGAATTTTCCCTCTCGATTTTGCCAACCCAAATTGGAAGGAGGCATGGCCATGGGAAGATGAGGGGGTAAGGTGGCTGGCGGCTTATGGTGGGAATGGAGACGACGATGGTGGACGGAGGTAGAGGATGAAGATGACGACTAGAAGCAATAAAAAGGAAAAAAAAAAACAAAAGATAAAAGATAAAGACTGCGAGCCTTGGACTCTTCCGAAGACTGCCGGGTGCTGTTTTGCCCTTCTCCAAGGGACTTCAAGTCACGAGCCCGGACCCATCCTGCGGCTGGTGAAAACTCCGATTCCTTCCCATAGGAATCTCACCAACGTTCTCTCAAAAGAACACAAGTGTGGAACACAAATTTTTTATATCAATAATCCATCCCCATTACAATAGCTTAAGGCCCTATATATAGGCCACAACATAAGAAAACTAAAAATACAAAATTGCCCCTTGGGCCACAACACTCACATAAACCAACCTAGGGGTAAAACAGGAAATACATCAAATAAGAACTAAAATTCAGAAAAATAACTCGTAAATGAAGATTTAAATAATAGCCGTCGATTTACGACGCCTCCTGTGATAGATGCGCCAAATCTTCGTACCGATGTCCGCATCATGGCATCTTCTTATTTGCTAACATCTGTGTTCTTAAGAGATCATTTACCAAGTGGTTTTAATCCACTCACATGCGCTTCTTCCACTTTTGGAAGAGCTGCTTATTAGTTCTTTCAAGCTACGTACTTTATCAATGCTTATCTTGATTTGTGTGTATTTGCTCATTTTGACGCGGCCAAGTGTATGCTGAAAAGAGCATTTATAAGATTTCGCTATTTTTGATAAATGCTTTACATGCTGTATCTATAATTATATATAATGAATCATGATAGCCTTTTCATGCATTGATTTAATGCATGTAATTTATGAGAACGTTATATGCAGATGCGTGGACAACAATCCAATTTCTTCTGCTAGTTTTCAAGACAGGAAATCAAGAGCCGATATTGCGGCATCTTTTCAGGTTAGGTGAGAACTTCCTCATTCATTTTTACTAGTGGCAATTGCTTAAATTATTAGTTACTTTCTACAGCGCGTTGCTGTGTTACATCTTGAGGAGAAGTGTGAACGAGCAATTCAATGGGCAAAAGAGATGGAACCTTCTATTAATTGCTTGGTGATGGGAACATTTTATTTTTCTGTTTTAGTTTGACTCCCGAACATATCATGGCTTTTGACATTTAATTATTTTTAATACTACTTCTAGGTAGTTTCAGGAGGTGTTGCATCAAATCAATATATTAGATCTCGTCTAAGTTATGTTGTGGAGAGGAATCGTATCCGCCTTGTTTGTCCACCTCCAAAACTTTGCACTGACAATGGTAAGACATTTTATTTTTAGTTTTGCTTGATGATGCCATGATGCTAGTATAAATTCCATCTAACTGGATTTGAAGCGTATTTATGCGGAACTTAATTGGATTTGATGCAAATTTTAGTTGTTTTAGAATTTGAATATGTTGGAACCATCTAAAATGATTTTTTGGCAGGTTGATCATTTTTCGTTCTTGTGATTCAGCCTCTCTGATTCTCACGTTGACTTCATAAATGATTAATGCTAGCCACATTTTGCATGGTCATGGTTTTTTATTATATGTTAAGTGCTGTGCTGATGCCTTTTATGTTCTGTTGCGTTGGTTGGAGGGAGTGTCAAATGAAAGATTTGTAATATTCTATTGCCATTACCATGGACTAGAGAAACCACTTATAGCTGCTAACTGGAGCCTATTGCTACGCTTCGACTTCGTGCATATGGTTAGGAAGGCTTTGACAACATCAGCTCTACTTATTGGTCAATTCAAAGGCTTGGACTCTTCTCTGAATGGCCAACCTTTTTGGAAATATATATGATGGCCGGCGGCTAAGCCGGTGGACTCCACTAGGGTAGGAGGCAGGAAAAAAGAAAGAGGGGAAATTGTTTAGAAAAATTTTAATTACAATTGGAGGGAATTACTTAGAGAAAGAAATCTAATTTGAATTCAAATTTAAGATAAAACTATTTAGGTAAAGTTCATGGGAGTTAATATTCATTATGAAAGGAGGAATCAAAGGATAATTGTTTAGGAAAATTTTAATTACAATTGGGAGGAAATTAATTAGGGAAAGAGATCTAATTTGAATTCAAATATGAGAGGAAATTATTTAGGGAAAGGGGGCTGATTTGGGAGGAAATTAGGGGAGCAGGGAGCCTATTTAAGGCTAACTATGGAGTGATTTCAGATTATGCTTAATTTTGTTGGAATTAATTTTGCTTAGGTTGAGTGGGCTCTAGCTGTGGTTAGGGATTTGGGAGAGTCAGATCTTCCTCTCCAATTGAAGATCCAATTGTATATTGTATTTTTCTTCTTAGTTCTTTCAATAAAAAAGAATCTTGTGTGTTCTTCCTCCTAAATTTCTTGTGTTGTTCTTTAGTGTTGCTAAAATTGCATCCACTTCCTATTAAATTGGTATCAGAGCATAGATCCGGGTATCTATGGCAGGAAGAAAGGTAGAAGCGTTGGAGGGGGAGATTAGACATTTGAAATATAAAATTTCATATTTTCAAAGTCAAATTTCAATCGTCCATGAGAAGATCAATGGAAAGTTTTCCATCATGGAGGAGATGATGAGGAATAGGCTTAGGTCCAAATCAAAACGACGTTGTCGGAGGCGGTGGGAGCCGCTGACGATTAAGGGAGTGGAGGAAACCCTAATCCGATAAGGAGAGGGGAAGATCATGATGTGGAAATGTTGGGGGAAGAAGAGGAGATGCCCACGTCCGAGGGGAAAGAATGGAGTGGTATTTTTGGTGGGGCTATAGAGTTTGGAAGGAGAAAAATATGGGAGAAGATAGAAGTACCTGACATGGTTCAACCACTCCTGCAGTAGTGTCGAGGGGTGTTTTAGCCAGTTCAAGGTTGCCTCCCCCCGGGTACGCGAGAATGCTATCATCTTGAATGAATGAGTCTCATCTATCAATTTGTTTGTATCGTCATCCCAATATCCAAAATGAAGAGATTGATATATTGATCAGGGAGATGCTCAAGGCAGGGATCGTTCGACCCAGTGTTAGTCCATTTTCTAGTCCACTATTATTAGTTCAGTGCATCAACAACAGTTTCATTCATTCCACCTTGAGGACAATGTGATTTTTTGGGAGGGGTGTATTGATGGACAGGCGGCTAAGCCGGTGGACCCCACTAGAGTGGGCGACTGGAAAGAAGAGAGGGGGAATTATTCAGGAAAATTTTAATTACAATTGAAGGGAATTAATTAAGGAAAGAAATCTAATTTGAATTCAAATATGAGAGAATTATTTAGGGAAAGCCCAGGGGAGTTAATATTCATTATGAAAGGAGTAATCAAAGGGGAATTGATTATAAAAGTTTTAATTACAATTGTGAGGGAATTAATTAGGGAAAGAGATCTAATTTGAATTTAAATATGAGAAGAAATTATTTAGGGAAATGGGGCTGATTTGTGACGGAATTAGGGGAGCCTATTTAAGGATAACTATTGGGTGATTTCAAATTATGCTTGATTTTTTTGGAATTAGTTTTGCTTAGGTTGAGTGGCCTCTAGCTGACGACTAGGGATTTGGGAGAGTCGGATATTCCTCTCCAATTGAAGATCCAATTGTATCTTGTATTTTTCTTTTTAATTCTTTCAATAAAAAAGAGTTATTGTGTGTTCTTCTTCCTAAATTTCTTATGCCGTTCTTTAATTTTGTTGAAATTGCATCAACTTCCTATCAATATCCTAAGATCCATGAAGACAAATATAATAAAAATAAACAAAAACTCCCTCTCTCTCTCTCTCTCTCTCTCTCTCTCTCTCTCTCTCTCTCTCACACACACACACACACACACAATCTGGCAAAGACAGATTTGTGGCAGTTATTTTTATTTTTTAAGGCTCTGCATGTAGTTTTATAGCCATGAAAAAAAAATGAAATACAAAAACCATGAACGTTCATGATCATTAAGATATAATAATCAAATGCCAGAATAACACCCGAACTTTTTTTATGATATTTTAAGTTATTCATGGAGTTTATGAAGTTGAGAATCTTGAATTTTTTTAGGGTTTCGTTTCTAACTTTCTCAAAGCCTTTGGCGTATAGGCAGTATGCATTAAATAGGAAAATTTAAGTGAAATATCTTGGTTATTATAATGAAGAATAGTTTTTTGTTCAACATTATATGCATTTTGCTGGTCATTTCATGTTGACTGTGGAGGGTTTTTGTAATATCATCTGGTTATGGTCGGGTGCTGATCCAGCCTTATTTTTTAGGGTGGGCAGACTTATTATATAAAAAATTAAATACTAAAAATTTAAAATGTATATAAGCTAAAATTCTAAACAAAATGATAACAACAAAATATGGTCTAATTTTTGTATATTGAGTAGGATGGGCACATGTATTCAAATTATCAAACCTATCATGCATATCAGAAGTTATTTGCGGTTTCTTCTGGCATTGATGTGTAGTCCTATTATTATCAAATCAATATTTAAAAAGATGAATGATAACCTAAATCAATATTTAATAGATCTTATATAAAAATAATTATTTTTATCATTTCCTATTAATAAAACTTACCTATGTACTGATTGGTTAAAGGGGTTTGAGTGTACTGCATTTTAAATGGAGAGATTTATAAATTTTAAATATTTGATTGGCTTAAAAACAAATGAAAATATTTTTTGAGAAAATTTAAAACTAATAATTAGTTCTTTTTTTGAATGTATTGCATTTTAAACTAAATTTACTTGTTATGTAACCAAACATAATAAATTATAATTCTTGAATTTATTTTACAAATAATTAAGCACTATAGAATAGTAAATATTAAATGTACATTATATTTAAAATACACCTAATTTTTAAACAACCCCTAAGATTTTTCACAATTACACCAACTACATATTAAAAAAAAAGTGATTTGAAAGGCAATCAAGAACAAAAATATTTTGAATTAGTAAAATATAAACCATAATGTTTCTACAATGCAGAAATGCTTCAATCCAAAATATCTTAACTTTGATTTTCTCACTTATTGGATTACCTTCATCACCTTAAGAGATGTTTTTCAGATATCTGGAATTACTTTATAAATCGGAATATAATTATATAAATAGTATTTTTAATATTTAGATATAACAATTTACTTTGTTTAATAATTAGAGCAAGTAATTATAAATTTTTTTAGATATCTCTACTTTTTCCTGACACGCTCAACACGCATCTTTCTCTTCTTTTCACAAAAACTTGTACTGTCTCTGACAAGCACCAATCAGTAGAAGAAGCTTTGACTTGAAAGCCATCGCCATTAATGGCAAAATATAATCTTCAGCTCCTTTGGTCCCTCATGCGTCATAGACGGGCTATCATGAGCTTAAATAAACCTCGTCGGGCGGGAGCATTGAGATGGAGCACAGATCGGGAGAGGGAGAAAGTATCAAAGACTTCGGCCGCTTCTGATTGCACACCGAAGTTTTTTCGACCACTAGCAATGCCGTTGGATGAAATTTTTATTGGGTGTGGAGTGCGGACGTAGCTCTATGTTTGCAAACCTGTAGCTGAACGCTACGTGGAGCCCACCTTGACCCCACCGATCTGTTTACCACGTGTGCCTTTTTACAGTGCGGCCCGACGGCCTAAACCGCCCAAAAAATTGAAAAAAAAAGCGCGGTAATATTTAGGGTTTAATTTGATGGCGTAGGTTATTTACCTCAGTTAAAAAAGTTTTTCTCGTTACCTGAAAGCTCATAAAGAAAGAAGATCCGAAGCTATGAAGATGGATACCGTTCTGGAGGACTTTGAAGATTGGTCGGAGATGTACGGCGTTACCCAAGAGACATAGCAAAGAGGAAAAGATGTTTTTCAACAAAATAACGAAGATAAGTTGGAGATATTATCGGTAAATATGATATGGATGTCGTGACTTCAGTGTTTTGTTTAATAATTTTTCTTTTGAAAGGTATTTTTTGGTGGTCACGCGGCTCCTAGGTACCATTTGTGACCGGTCGGTACCGGTCGGTACCGCTCGGTACCGGTCGGTACCGCTCGGTACCGGTCGGTACCGCTCGGTACCGGTCGGTACCGATGCTGTTGCCAATTAGTTTGGTTATTTCCAATGTTAAAATCGAAGTGTTTAAATAGATTTTCTTGTTCGTAGATTGTCTGTAACAGTGAGAAAGAAACATATGACATGTACTGCCATTACGCTCACAATGTTTAGTGTTCGCAAAGATCATCACTGTTACTGGCCTAATTCGAGAAAGCTAAGGCTCAAGGATTTTGTATGTTTGAAAGCTGTATTTAAGAAGGACATTGAC